GCCCTTTCCCCTTCCATGCTGCCCAATTCCCAATCCAGCGTCCTTCCTCCCCGCATCTGCAACCTGCATCATCTTCAATTCACCCGTCGCTTGATTTCAACTCTCAACGACGCGATATGGCGTCAACCGCCGCCGACATGTGATCATCGCCGTTGTCGCCTGTCGCCTGTCGCCGTTGTCGCTGCCCTCGCTAATGCACCTCGACCAATCCGCGACGAATCCCACACGTTCATGCATCGCGGAGCGCACCGCGCAGTCCTGCAGGTGGATCCGCTTTCGTCATGCGAATTGTCAAAATCCATCCATGCGAGTCAGGATGGTGTTTATCCAGAATTCTCTTCTACGAGTTTGCACAAAAGAGTTGGATGAGTATTGGTCATGATTACGGATAGCATCTGAGTTTGCGGTTCCGCGCCTTCCAATGTAAGCGGCCATCATTATATGCCCGTAGTCGGCAAAGAAAGACCGTCCCGAATGCTCCTGGTTATATCCACGTCCCTCAACGACCCCGCTTCAATGTTAGTCAATTGCATACACAGTACCAGCATGGCGGTCCTCATGCGTAGGCTTCTCATACAGGTTTGCACCTCCGCAGAATCCTTGATGTTCTTAGACAACAGCTTTACGTGGATCCCGCATGAGAACGTACGACCAAGACCTCCACAACCAATGCAGATCTTATGAATCCCCTCATTGTTACAGCTGGGTGCGTGCTGGACCCGACACCTCATCCGATGGAAGCTCTCTCGGTCGTTCTGGCACCTCCGCCGAGGCGGTCTTTACGGATATATCACACCAGTAAGATGGTTTCAACGGGTCCTTCGTCGTATGCTGCCATTACCGAGTCCATGTTCCGTCTCTTCCAGGAGAGATTGAAATACCCGACTCTTTCAAAGACGCCTGGTCGGATGCCAGTGTCTACTATGCAAATCACCACCCACAGTGTTACTGGGCGATCAGCATCACCATATCGCAAGAGCACAAGTAGTTGAACATCAACCGCATTTCGATCGTGGTAACATGTGGCCTCAGTATCGTCAAGGACGACCTCGAAAATCTCGGATGCTTCATCATCGATCAGTCCTTCCGATACAGAAGGCCAAATACCCCTGTTCATGGTACAGAAGGCCATGTTGTTCTCTTCTGTATAACGGACGCTGGCTGGAATAAGTCTGCATTCCAGGACCAATAGCCCGAGTTCTCCAACGTGCGATGTTGGAATATGGAGATCTCTGACTGCTGCCATTTCTTCTGCAGGGGACTCATCAAGTTTCAGCATCGCAACAGGAGATACGTCATCTTTCGTGCTGGCCCAACTCCAAGTAGGTGCGAACCATGGTTGGATAAAACCAGGACCAATGTTGGTTTTGGTGTAGCTTTCACTTGTGAAAGAAGTACAGCATTCCCAGAAAAGCAAGGCTTGCGTAAAGTGCAAAATTCTTGGTGCAAGGAAACGCTCTTGAGCGACCCATGCCCTTTGATTCAAGGGTGACTTGTAGATGATGCCATCTGGGATGATGGAACGGAACCCTATAAATAAGGACCTGGAGTAGGCCACTCAGACGAGTCCTGGGTTTCTGACCACGTAGCTGCAACCGTTACCGGCGTGAGCTCTTGGATATCGCGATCAAAGAAAAGACCAACGTCTCCGGATTCAGCAGCGGTCGCGGCAATACAAAAGTCTGCTTTGCTGTAGACGTCGCGCATGCGGGCTGCTTCAGAATCCCAGTCGCTAAGATCATCCTGAAAAATACAACTTCATGAAGTTAGCAACGATGTTGAACAATGTCAGTGGAAAGATATTACAGAGAATCGATCCAAATGAATTGGACTTGGAATTTCCGTGTTACGGTGATCGCGTCCTAAAACGTCCTAGATAACAAGGACCACGGGATTCCCTCTTCGAACATATCCACAGTGGGCTTCGTCAACACCGCCCTTTGTGGATGCGTTCCCCAGCAATGTGAAAGCACGGTGTCGCCCGCTCCAACGACCGTATCGGTTCCTTCACAAAGTCGAGCAACTCTCTCTTCAGTGGATCCAACGTACAGTACTCGTGTTGGCATAAAGCCGTTGTAAGGAGCCAGATGTTGACACTTAGCATGTAGCTCTCGACATCTGTGATACTGTTTTCCGAGCCACGAAATCGCTTCGTCATCGCCTGTGTTATGGGTAACATGTTAGAAATGCAACTCAGGTCTTGCTACAGTAAAAATCAGCACCCGGCAATGATGTGTAATGAACCCAAGAATGCTTCGCTCACATTCGTACGCCTCAAGATCAGCGGATGCAGTATGAGCTCCGCTTTCAAATTTGACTCTTGCAGGTCCTTCACGAGCTATACCCAGGCTGTAATTTGTCGGTCCTATGGGATAGGGATACCCAGGACTTCCCAGTACTAGCGGAAGGTCAGCTACACCAGGGATCGCGTTCATAGAGACAGTAATACCATAGGTCCATCTCATGGCTTTGTGGAGCCGAACGCATAAGTCACAGGGAAGCTCAAGAGCTCTCTGAAAAGAGTTCGCGTCATTGTGATGAACGTATTTGGGCCGTGGAACTCTGCCTTCCCAACCGTCTGGATCAACGTAGTCTGTTCTATCGCCTCGGAGAAAAGCCTTGCAAGCCTCGCAAAGCTTGATCTGTGAAACTGTGGGTAGCCTCGCAACTGTGTCTTCCCGTGGGAAATAGAACCAGTCCAATGTAGCAAGAGGAAGAGAGGGTGTATGGTGAGGATTGCTCATACTGGCGACAATGTGTGTGAGTGCCTACCAGCGGAGATGATGTTAGTGATATAACTTCGATATGTGCAGGTGAACAATTTGACTGAGATTCGGTCGTAACCCCTCACTTCCAAACTCGTGGTGGTACCAGGGCGGCAATACTTCGTGAGACTATTGGCACCACCAGCACAAACTGATTGCGGTGCGATTTGCTACATCAGAGTCGCACTAATGATACCCCCCCCCCCCCCCCCCCATGGTGGCGGCTATGCAATCCAAGGCTACACATGACGGCATCACTCCATGTCAGCGCTTACATCCGAAGAACGATTCTATCGACCTCCAAAACGGGACGCTGCAATACTGACATGAGCGAAAATATTTACGACAGCCTGGTACAACCATAGATTCATAACTAGCATTGCCCCACCGGGGATCTAAACTACCCAGGCATTCCACCAGTGTATCCTACAGCTTCGGAAATCTAACCCTCAAAAACTGATTCGGCCACGCAACATCCAACCCCAACTGCCAGGCAACCCTGAGCACCCACTCGGGCTCCCGCATAAACTGTCTCGCAACCAGCACCACATCCGCCAATGGCTCCTTCCCCTCCGTAACCTTAACCGCAGCCTTCGCCTCCTTCGCCAACTCCTCATCCCCGATCCGTGCGATCGTCGCCGCACCACCCTCTTCAACAATATCCCTCGCTTGCTCCGCCTCAGTGATAAGACCCACAGCACCGATGAAGAGGCTGAGATTCTCTTTCTTCAGCGCACTACGGATTTGTGCGGCGATTTTGATCTGGTAGTCCTTGGAATCGAACATGTTGATTCGCTGATCGGGGTGGTTTCCTCCACTGCTCACATCGAGGAGATCGACACCAAGACCCGGAAGTAACTTCGCGAGGCGAATCGAGCTCTCGACGTCCCAGGTGCCGCGTTGTTTGCCCAGATCCGTTTCTTCCATCCAGTCTGTGGAGCTGATGCGGAGGTACAAGGGCATGCTGTCTGGGATGACGGCACGAATGGCCTTGGTGATTTCAACCAAGAGACGTGTGCGGTTCTCGAAGGAGCCGCCGTAGGCATCGGTTCTTTGATTTGTAACGGGTGAGAGAAATTGGTGGATCAGGTAGCCATGCGCGCCATGGATTTCGATCACGTCGATACCAGCTTTTACTGCTCTTTGCGCTGCGTCGGCCCAGTCTTGTACTAACTCTTTGATCTCCTTTTCGCTGAGCGCACGAGGGGCCCAGTATCCGCTACTCTCGTCCTCTGCGGCTTTCTCGTCCCATGCCCATTCTTGGCCGCCCATGGGTCCAACGACATTCGTTGGCCAGCCATCGGCGTCAACGTCCGCTTTTACGCTGACTTTACGCTTTCCACCTTGTGTCTTTTGCTCGCCGGCGATCCAGGGCGCGCATGTACTTGCCTTTCGTCCCGCATGCGCTAATTGGAGACCACTCTGCGCTCCTTGGCTCTTGATGAAGTCTGATACCCTTCGTAGTGCGGGGATCTGGGAATCACTCCATATGCCGGGACAGTTTGGAGAGATGCGGCCGTTGGCTTGGACACCGGTGGCTTCTATAAAGACTAGACCTGCGCCTTTGAGGGCGTAGTGACCGAGTGTTGCGATGTGATAGTCTGTTAGGGCGCCGATGGTGGGGCCTGAGGATGCGGTGCTGTACTGGCACATGGGCGCTACAAGAATGCGGTTGCGGAGCGTGGTGCCGCGAATGGTTAGGGGCGTGAAGAGTGTCGGTGTTGTGCCATCTTGCTTGGTGTTTGGAGCGGGCGTTCCTGGTGAGATCAAATGTTTTGGGGTGAAGTAAGGGAGGCCTGGGACGCCTTGGTTATAGTCTTGGGGTGCCATGTTGAGGTGTCGAGTATGAGAGTTTGGGTCGACTACTTTTGCATGAGAAGAGTATGGGAAAGTATATATTAGTCGTGAAAAAGGTGCTAGAAGAAATGTTCAAGCCACCTGTGCTAGAGCACGCAATGCCGTTGATTTGTAAGTATCTTTTGGCATGGAGATAGTTGCCGAGGTACATCTGCAACTTGCCTGAACCAGAAGGTGCTCAAGTCGCAAAAGGCTACGGAGTCCTAAATCTTCAAAGATATCACGCTTCAAAGGGGCAGTTCATGAAATCGATGCCTTAGGCGTCAAACGCGGCACTTTCGAGTGATGTAGCGGCGCCTCGGTCCAGAGCACGCGTAGGCAAAGGATGCGAGCCATAGAGTCCATCGACGCTATATTCTGAATCGCCGCTCCATTCGAGTGGACAGAAACCTAAGTCAGGATAAGACTGAAACTAGAGCTGCCGCAGAAGGGTCCAATGCTTACGCCTACGCGCGAGCTCGAGCGCGTCGCCATGTGATGTGCTCGATGACGTCAACGTAACCGTCACTCAATATAGTAGCCAAACTTCCAGCGCAAGTTGTTTACGACTACCAACCATCTACAACTTCTCAAATCGCTGTACACATACCTCTAAATCGATCCTCCACACACCTAGCACATACATCAACATGTCCGCCGCACCAAACAACCCCGGTCTCGTCTCTTCTCACGCCCAATATGTTAAGGGCGCCGCCGAGGTACGTTACGATTCATTTCTCAAGCTCTTTCAAGAATGATGCCAGGAGCTAACTTCCTTCTAGGAGACCATCGGAAACGTCACCGGCAGTGAGCCATGGAAGGCATCAGGCGTGCAAGACAAGGAGCAAGCGGTGGACGCCATGAAGGCAGCATCAGCGAACCGCGACCCCAGCCAACAAGGAATGGGTGGTATCGAGGAGAAGGCAGGAAACCTAGTCGGCTGCGAAGGCATGCAAAAGGAGGGTGCCGAGAGCAAGAAGGAGTAGATGGCTACTGCAGTTGTTTAAATGAAATTATATAACGACAAACGAGCAATGCTGTCAACTTCACATGCGACAAAATAATTTGCCGCGACGATTTGAATGTCTCGATATAAAGGATGTGTCCGTACGTCATTGCTTGAAGTAGTATCGTGAAGGACCCTGGACTTCGTAGAGCACGGTCCCTGCGAGCTTTGAGCTTGAGCTTCTCGCAATCGAGCTTTAACACACCGCAAACTTCGCCGTCGCAGTACTACCACCCCGTCACCAGTCGCGCGAAACGTCGTATTTCAAACATGGCGCCTCCGATACGCGCGCGCTCGATCAAATCAGATTCCTTCCACGAGCACTTCCGAAAGCTCAAGACATCCGTGTACCAAGATAGTCCTCGCCCAAACGCCGTATCATCCTCGCACTACATCCGCACACTATCATGGAATGCCTCGGGCACATTCATCGCGACAGGTGCCGCTGATAGGACACTGCGCATCTGGAATCCGGAGAAGACGAATGCTAAGAACTCGACCGAATTGCGCACGCCCAATACGACAGCAGCCCTAGAACGCGTTTCCTTTCACCCAATCAACGAGAATGAGCTCGCGAGCTCTACTTCTGATGGCATGGTCAGGTTTTGGGATATACGATCCAAGGCTAGTGTAGGCGAGGTCAAGGTCGGCGAGTGCCCATTCACCCTGGCGTGGACGCCGGATGGGAATGAGTTGGTGGCAGGTAGAAAGGTTATACACTCCATAGCCATGCACGAGACACGTACTGACAGTCTCTAGGATAATCTCCTTGTCACCATCGACCGATCAACCCTAAGCATCCTCTCCGAACACCAACAAGTCCTCCAAACAAACCAATGCGTCTTCGACTGGTCCGGCAACCACCTCTACACAACCGCTGGTGACGGCAGCGTCAGAAGCCTTCGGTACCCGTCTTTCGAGAACGCCCTCACACTCAACGCTCATACCTCCGCATGCTACGCGGTATCGCTTTCACCCAGCGGCGAATACCTGGCAGCAGGTGGAGGTGATGCGCTGATCTCGCTCTGGGACACGCAAGAATGGATATGCACACGGACATTGGAATTGACCGGTGGTATCATCAAGTCGGTTGACTTCTCCTTCGACGGCAGCTATGTTACTGCCGGCTCCGATGATAAGGAAGAGAAGAAGATCCGTATTGCGCATGTTCACACCGGAGAGATTGTACACACGGTTGATGTGCCGACACCAGCGTCCCATGTCGCCTGGCATCCTTGCCGCTATGTCCTAGCATACTCCGCGGATAATCTGGGTCTGAAGATCATTGGGGGTATCAGCTAGTTTGGCATAGAGGAGCAAGGAAATGGCGTTCGTCAGGTCTGCAGGTTCGTATGATACCCATCGTAATCGGAATTCTACGCGCAGCATGCTGCGGGATCTTTTCTTGCAAGCGGCTTATTTCCGTCTGTGACGCAATCGTTGCTCCATGTCGGAGTAGGAAAGTCCGTCTTTTACTCTATGAAAGTCCAGTCACTTCTCTGCATCTTCCGTCCGAATTATCCAACTTCATCACCATGGACGTCTCAACGCCAATCAGACCGAACGACATCTTCTCGGCGAAGGGACTAGTAGTGGTCATCACAGGCGGCGGCAGTGGTACGTTACTCAAGCTTCGAGCTACCCCACCAAGCCCCGCGCCCTCACGTCTCGACAGGCGCGAGCTGAAAGTGCAGTGAACAACAGCTCATCCTCACAGGTCTCGGTCTCGCCATAGCATCAGCCCTATACCAAAATGGTGCCGGGCGTATATACCTCCTCGGCCGCCGCCGTGAAGTCCTCGAGAAAGCCATCAACTCCCTCCAATCCAACACACCGCGCGACTCACAAAGCACCGGTAGCCTCCACGCCCTCCCCTGCGACGTAACCGACCTCAGTTCCGTACGCGCCGCCGCCTCCACGATCCAGAACGAAATCGGCTACGTCGACGTCCTCATCAACAATGCCGGCGTGATCGGCCCCAAAAACGGCGCTGACATCTACAAAGCCGAGTCCATCCAACAACTATCAGAAACCATGGTCTCGGGCTACGACGGCTGGCAAGACGCCATGGCTATAAACACGCAATCCGTCATCGGCGTCTCAGCCACCTTCCTCCCCTTGCTCGAAGCAGCAAACACGCGTCGCGGCTGGACACCCGGTAAAGTCACAGGTACAGGCAACGCGCGCGCCCGCGACACCGGCACCGCGACCAACAATGGCATCGATGCAGACGACGACCGCATGGCGCACATCATCACCGTCGCATCCGTTGCCTCATACATGCGCTGGGTTTCCGCTGGTTTAGCATACAACGCCAGTAAAGCGGCCGCCGCCCACCTAGGCAAGATGATGGCAACCTTCCTATCCGAATGGGGTATACGGAGTAATATCGTGTGCCCTGGACCTTATCCGAGTGACATGACAGCGGGGCTCAATCCCGTTTATGGAACGAACCAAATACCCCAGGGCAGGATGGGTGGAATCAATGACATCTCGGGGCTGATGTTGTTCCTTGTGGGTAAGGGTGGAGCGTATGTTAATGGGACTACGCAGTTGACTGATGGGGGGAGGACGAGCGTGTTTCCTGCTGTTTATTAGATGGGGTGGGTAGGTGGTGGCATGTGAGCAATGGATAGAAGTACAACGGGGGTTGCAGCATACGTAGTCTTGGGTCTTGATATGTGGGCGGTATCCAGGGTAATGTGTACTTTTAGCAGTTCTGGTCGACGACAATATCGACGTCGGATTGCCGTATACATGATATTGAAAATCTCTAATCCACTATCGACGGTTGGATTTTACATGTTGAAAGTATGTCATTTTTGTTCATCTACCTGTCTGCGAGGTATCCATGCTATCCACTACCCCATTCAATGCTTTCCTCTGTAATATTATGATCGCTGAGATGATGCAACTCCGCATGAAAGACCCGACTTAAGCAGGCCATTGCCTTTGCCTCATCTCCTTCTACCCCCGCACTTAGAGTGCTCTCTCAAGGCCCTCCATTCGTCCCCAGCCCGTCATAGGCACATAATCGGCTGCATGCTCACCTTCCTCTCTACTTCGCCCTCTTTCTCTTTTTCGCGCCCGCGGACCTCTTGTTGCTCCATCTCCGACCATCGGAATTCCCAGTCGGATCGGTGACCTACATCCGACCCAACACGCCTCTCACACTACCCTGAAGGACCTGATTACCACGAACGCTAATCTCGCCGATACCAGTGTCGCCTCCTGAGCCGCCATTGAGCCAGCGCTGGAGGAGGGCGTTGCTCTCCATGGGCTTGATATCTTGAGCCGCTGTGCCAACTGTAACGTGTGCAGTAGGGTTAACAGTCGTGAAGAGCAACTCTTCCGTTGTTGTGCCCGCTGCACTTTCGATCTGTAGAGTACTGGAACCGTTCAGGCGAACCACGAAGCACATGATACGGTCATCCCATACTATCCGCTCCATTTGTACGTCGCACGTTCCTAGCTCAGGCTCCCAGGTACCTGTCGTGTTGGTTCGCTGTGCGGTTTCATGGAGTTTGCTGAGCTTGTCCCAGTATTCCTGGTTTTGAGACGCAGACGCGCGGTGCATGAGGGTGACGTGGAATTCGTTTTGGACGCGCTTGTTTTGCTTCAGTTGCTTGTACATGCTTGCGGTGTTTGCGTCCTTGTCTCTGAACAATGATTCGAGAATCGCGTTGATACGGCCGGTGTCAAGTCGGACGGAGAAGTACTCCATGCGCGGCGCTTTCTTGGCTTTCGGTGCGGCCTGAGATTGTTGGGCGTTGGCTCCTCGTTGACCATTTTGCGGGTTCTGGTTGCCTCTTTGGTTCTTGTTACCTTGGGATAAGTCCATCTTGAAGTCTGGTGTATAGTCGTTCATAGCCCACTGGATAGCAGCGTCCATGTCGGGATCCGTCGGCATGTCCTTACCAGCAAACAAGGCTGGGTAAGTCTCGAACATCTTCGCGATGATGGTCTCGAGGTTCTCGCGGGAGTCGACCGTGGGGTCAAGGTCGATGACGAGATCGAACAGATCATCTGGCTTGTCTGAAGGGTCGACTGGCTGGAAGCGATGCATAAATCCCTCCATGATCTCGACAATCTCGCCCCTGCCTTTCGAGCCTGCTTGAATCGTCTGATGGTTGTCTCCGCGATCGAGCACGCGCTTCTGTGTTGCTTGTCGGATGCGGTCGTAGTTGGATCGATCGTGGACATAATGCAGTGCAACGAAGCGGGCGTCGGGTACAGTTTTTGAGATGTCATTGATGATCTGGTCGCGCTCGCGCTTTTGGTGGTTGTTGCGATCGGCGATGACGACGGGGTTCGTGACGAGTAATGAGGAGATGGTGTCAGCGAAGATCTGGCCGCGACCCTTCTTCGCTTTGACGTTGTCGTTCTGGAAGTGGCCCCAGCCGAACAACTTCACCAGCGCGAGAGCCAACGTTGTCTTTCCGCATCCAATAGTTGCAATCGGGACAAGCACAATGTTCCTGTCAGCCTTCTTGCTCTCGACAGGTCCGTTTAGCTGCTCCTGTCGGATGATATCCGCACCGGTTGTTCCACGGAATTTTAGGAAATCATCGCGCATCTTGATGATGCCGTGATTCGCATTATACTGTTTGGCTAGACCTTGGTTCTGAGCAAACTGCCGGCGAGCAAAGTCTAGGTACTCCTTCGTGATGGCTTCGTGCTTCTTATACCGTGGTGGCTTTCCGGCGATCAAAGCCCTAGTGCACTCACGCCACTGCCGGTACATGAGATATGGCTCCTCGAACTTGTACTTGAAGAACCAGTCCACATACGGCGCACCCTCGGTCTCGCGCGCCTGACACCGGATGACGAAGCCTTCTGTGTCGCGGCCTTCGTAGTTGCCCGTCTCGGCGACTTTGTCCAAGAACTTCTTAACCTCTGTGACGTCGTTCTCCATAACGTATGTGACCTTCCTCATGCCCCACTCCTCCGCGAACTTGTCTACCAGGTGGCCAGGGTATGTCGCGAACTCGGGTAGGTTGAGGTTTATGCCGTGGACGTAGAGACCAGCTTGCTCCGGAGTGTATGCTAGGACGTGCTCTTCGAAGTCGTCGTCGCACAGCTCAGCCACCAGTGTCGCGTTCATGGATCGGAGTGTGCGGGCTAGATCCTCCTTCCTCTTTCCAACAGTCGCAACATGGCGCTCCACCCACTTCTCACCTGCGCAGGCATGGCTGAGCTCTTCGCCTCGTGGGCCAGTGGAATGCTTGCTGCAGACTAACAATGTGCCATCATCGAGACCGGATATGAAGATGATGCAGCCGTTCTCCTTGACACTCAGCTCGTACGGACCCTGCGTGTGTTGCTCCACGTTCTTCCATTGAGTCTTCGGGACCTCGCCGTGGTTGAAGAACTTGTCATAGCCTCGTGTAGCGATCTCGTAGTTGCCTTCGCGGTTCTTGTATGTGAAGAGACCTCGTGCGTATGTCGGAAGATTTGCTTTCTTGTAGTCCCACTCGTTCATCTTCCACGAGTCGACAGTGCGGCCATTAGGGAGCGGGAATGTGTGTTTCTTGACGGAGAAACCGCCCTTGCCCTTCTTGCCCTGGTGCGCCTCGAGGGTGTGGACCAGATTGGTGATCTCCTTGGGGTCTTGGGGCGCATATGGTGCTTGGTCGCGGTGCGCCATGATGGCGGTCGATCGGAAGGACCGTGAAGACGTGGGGGAAGTTCGAGCAACGTTCAGCGGTCGATTATAATTCTGGAGGAAAGGCGAAGGTAAGCAAAAGGTGGTGGGTGGTGCAGTGCAAAGGCGTGAGAGCGGGGAGAATGAAATAAGACGCGCGAGCATTCGGTCAGGCAGCGAGCAAAAAGTCGAGACAAAGTGCGCAGCAACGATGAGTCAACAAAACAAGCACAGCAAGGGCGTTTCTCACCAGCGCTACACTGCACGAACAATCATCAAAAGGGCGTCAACACGGCGCAGTCGCGTCGAGGTCAGTCTAGAGTCATTGCGACAAATGTGTGTCCAAACAGCGATGAGATCATTCGCCCGGTTGTGGCTGTGGCAGGGGCTGACTCCCGCGGGGTCAAAGCCGCCTAACCCGTTTGAGCAGCATCCTATTCCTTCACATCGCATTTGCACACTTGCATCATTCCTGTATGCATAATCCTTGTCGTGTTACTATCAAAAGCTATGAAGGATGTACCGAAAGATCCACGGACCCGCCGCTGCATGTCGTTCCCGATATCTGCGCATCGAATCCTCACCGTGCCACATTATAGCTTCTTTACACCTTCAGCCAAGATCTTCTCAACCTCGTCCTTGTGCTTCGAGAAGTTGTCCACGAGGTTGTCCCTATTATTTTATTAGCCTTGCCTCATGGTTTCTGTTTTGACTGGTCAATACATACCACATCTTGGGGTCGTGCTCGTGCTTCTTCTTGCTGTTCCACGCCCAGTCGGTGATGGTGAACATCCTCGAGCTCTCCATCATGAACGCGACGGCGCCCTTGGAAATCTGCATCTCAGGCGGCGGCGCTGCACTTGCTGCTTTGAATTCTTCATAGGCGACACCGTGAGGTACGAAACCGCACTCGAAGCTAATGCCTCCCGGTTGGAACTCATCTGAGCGTCCCGCGTACTCGCCATAGATCAAGCCCATCAGCTCAGATGCTCCGTTACGGTGGTAGTAAGGCGGCCGGTAGGCTAGTATCGATTAGCATTATCGGCGCACGCAGAATTCCGAGCACATACTGTGCGAAGCAACGTCCCAGCGCGGGCTGAAGATCAGGAAGTCCGCAAGCGGCGCTGCGGGGTCGCGCGAAGGTGCGGTAATGACGCAGAAGATGGATGGATCGATGTGGTCAACCGAGATCGAGCCAACGTTGACGAACTTGGTCAGGTCGTACTTGTACGGGACGTAGTTTCCATGCCATGCAACGACATCAAATGGCGAGTGCTCTTGTTTGCTGACGAAGAATTTGCCAGCGAGCTTGTATACAATCTCCCACGATTCTTGCTCAATCTCGTACTTCGCAACCGGGTGCAAGAAGTCTCGAGCGTTAGCAAGTCCGTTCGCGCCGAGAGGGCCGAGTTCAGGGAGTTGGAACTGCGAGCCCCAGATTTCTGCAAACATCAGCTGACACTTTCTTTCTCCTAGTTTGTACGTTATCTACCTAGGATGTATCCTCGGGTTGGTCCTTCAACCTTTACTCTGAATCGCTGTCCTCTCTGAATGACGCAGATCTCGCCTGGCTGCACATACATAGGCCCAAACTCGGTCTGGATGTCCAAAGCTCCTAGCTGGGGCACAATCAAGAAATCACCGTCCGAGTTTACCGCCGCTCTCTTGTTCATGCTCGCATTGCAGAGGTACGTGTGGACAGCTAGGCCTTCGCGGAGTGTTGGGTCGCCAGACCCAGCAATGCTCTTAAGACCAGAGATGAAGTCAACATCGCCGTCTGTCGGGGTATCGAATGGAAGCCATGCTAACTGTGTAGGGGAAACATGAACGCGCTTGTTCACGGGGAGGTAGTTTGACTCGGTATCTTCGTTGTCGGGGAGGTCGGTCTAGAGGTTTGTCAGCGAATGAGACAAATGATCAGACATCGTCTCGACGCGCTATCGATCTGACCGCGCCATCGGTCAAAGCACGTAGCCGAAGTCCAGGAAATGGTTTCTTACAAATCCTTGGTGCGCAACGGCCGGACGCGCCCTATATAGGTAGGCCTAATCAAGATGTCAGCATCAATACACTCCCCGTCCAACAGGCTACCAACCTTCTTGTTCAGATGTCTGGGAGCGACGAAAGAGGAACCGGTCATCTGCTCCGCATACAGTCCGAATCTGACACTTCTGGGGTTGTTCTGGCCTTTTGGGATAGTTCCTAGAAAAGATCGGTCAATATCTCGTCGCATAGCTCGGATGTACACGGCCCTCACCTGGCACTGCTTCTGACTCGAAGCTGTTGCCGAACCCAGATTGGTACTGTAGGGCATGTCAGCAGCGAACTCCAAGATGTCAAGTTGTCGGTGTCAGCTCACCTCATATGGATCATTCTTCCTCGTGCCGAAGGAAGGTATCGCTCCGTCCTTCTGCGTTTCCGCCCAGTGGAAGATATTCTGGTACTCCTTTGGATCTTTGAGCTGTTCAGGCATGATGACGCGATCGTTGTGACCGTTCAGTGAAGGTGCTGTATGAGATCGGTGTGAGACTAATAGATTAGACTGAGAGACTAAACGCAGGTGTGCTATGCGATAGTGTAGGTAATGTTCGAGCGAGAGTTTGGTAGACCAGAAAGTCCTGCGTCAAAAGAAGAATGGCATTGTGTTCATACGACCCCACACTTGTCGACCCCACAATCTCGCGTCGCAGGAAGCCGCATCGTGCATAGCAATTCCGGTGACCGAGTTCCCACTCCTGGTAATCCTTTCGGAAATTGTCCAATCGCCGATGGCACCGAAACCAGCGGAGGTGAGCACTCGTCGTCATGCCCAGCTGCGGTCAGCGACGAGGTTGGTTTGAGAGTAAGATGCGCAACTGCCGATGAGGGTCGAAGAGGGGTAGCTCCACGGACATGCGACGCCGGGAGAGAGCGGACTTCATGCGACGCCGATTCGCTGCTATTATGTGGCAGTGGAGCTGTGGGTATGATTGTAAAGGCTCGAGTAAGAAAGTAGTCAGCATTTCGGGATGTACGAGTCGGAGTCTTTGGGTGGATGAAGAAGCGCGAGTCGCGATTCTGGAGTTGTGTTCAACACCAAAGGCGTATACTGTCTTGTTCGTGACTACGTAGGTAGCGCGTTCCTTCTAGATACTACCATTTATAATATTGAAGTTGCATCAAGGCAACGCATCTATTTCCAGAGGCCATGTGCGCGCGTGGTAATACTTCCTGTGTGGTAGTTGTCTCGACAGTAAACACACTGCCTCGCCATCTATCATGTCCTGCTACTCAGTAATCTCATCACCAGAGACACGCTGCTCACCATCACTCAGTCAGCCTCAGTCATAACACATCATCGCATACCTTTCCGCATCCTCCACATCTCACCACTCCAGAACAAGGCCACCAACTGCCCCTCACACACCCTCAACACATCGATCCTTCCCGATCCATCCATCCCACTCCTTTTCCAGCTCTTCTCAGAACTCCAGTCCAGACACGTCAACGCCACAATAAATTCGCTGTCAGCCCTACAATATACTGGCGAGGTCTCGTACGACATCAGTCCCGCGAGCGGACCTCGCCTATGTGCGGCACGAGGATGGTGATCAAAAGCTGAAATGCCAGCCTTACCCGTCTTTGCACACATCTGATCTCGCAAATGCTACCTATGTGGTTCTCGAACGGCGCAAGATCGTGTGCCACAGAACAGCTCAGCTCACAGCAACTCTGCTCATCTTCTTTCAGACAGAGCTGATAGATTACTGAACGTGGTAAGAACTGACGCAGCATACTTCGCTAGCAAACACCCAAAGCAGAAGCATGGGGAAGATGTGAGAGTATTGACAGTCCCGATTCGTAGCCTTGCCATGCCGAAGCGAGTCTTGTCAGACAAGGCGAAGCGACTGCGCGTCTGTCGGCGTCAGCAATGTAAGCACTTTCTTCGCTGCTGTTACGCGTCTATCGCACGATTATACTTACAACGTCCATGAACATCCGTCCATACCACAACAACCAAAGCCACACTCGCGCATCTCGCCTCACGATGCAAACCGATCTGCGCCACAAAAGGCCCGAATGACCACGGAACCCACCTCCGACCATCTGCCCAACCGCACCTGATATCAACAATCAAGATATCAGACGTAGATTACAATAGAAACCGCACACCCCCTCGGCATGCAATGCCGAAGTTTTACTTTACCCATCCGGGCCAGCCCTTGATATCACCATAGCTTCTAAACTTTCGGAGAGACGGAATCATGTCGTCATTACCCTCACGGCTCTCACACACTTCTCTGACCGCTCATTCATCGTGAACCAAACTTTTGCTTCTTCCTTTGTCAACATACCACGCCTAGTCTTCCGTAGTAGGTCCAGGTGCAGAATCGGAACCGCGATTCCCGCCCAATAAAAGCAAGCTGCCCCCATCTGTTCATACCCATCGTCTTGTTAGGCGCAATCTTGACCGCCTCGCGCAATACCTTGGGAAGCTAGATAGCTAGTCCACGCCATAGTCCCCTTCCCAGTACAGGTATGCGCCCAGCGGCCACCAGCTTGCGACCTGCATACCTTGCTTTACAAACGACCCGACCCTGTTGCACGTTGTTGTGGCGGTTGGCGTGCAGAGTAGGTGCGTAAGCGCCCATGCTTGCATGCGCAATGCAGTCGATGCGGGGTATCCCTATCCCTGTCTGTCGCCCTCTCTCTCTCTCCAAGCATCCACTACACCACTACAATCTTCCCATCGCGAGGAAAGCCCACAGCCCAAAACTCGGGTGTATTTCTGCTGTGCATGTAGATCACGAGGCCTTTTTTCTTTCTCTTCATCAAAGATAGTCATCCATCTAGACTTGTCCGCTAGGATGACCCTGGAATACTATCGATTCGTTAAACTTGCCTCGCGTTCGCATCTCTCCTTGCATTTATTTCCAAGGTTTGGTAGGTTCTCGGAGGATACCAGGACTAGGGCTGTTCTGCCGGGTGATTGCAGATTGCAGATTGCATGATTTGCAGCATGCGAACACGTCGCGTATCGCGCGAACGAACGTAAACCCGCGAGAGTTGGGATAGTCATGTTCCTAGAGGAGGCGTGTCAAATACGCAACCAGCCCAAATGGAACCTAAACCTAAACCAGGCTCAGCCACTATACTATACTGTTCTCTGCGGCGATGGCGCGATGCAACAACAACCCAACTAGTTAGTACGCGCAAGATGGTGTCAGAGCCGTTCGCAGCGTGCGCTTTCTGTCTGCACGCTTGGCGACTTGCAACGGACGGCGCATCCTCGGGATGGACCCTGTTCTTTGGAGATGATCTTCGATCGACACTCTGCGCCTGCGTTTTGACGTACACCCACGCTGTAACTTCCCTTCCGTTCGCAGCGCCGATCCGTCCTTGTGCTGATCGGTCGAACTTACGACTCGTACGAACTGCGTAGTAAAGGATACAGCCAGTCGGATTAACAGTCCAGTGCTTTGTAGGCTAAGGCTGGCTGGCGTTGTAGTGAACTTCGCCACGAGGTTGGAAACAGTGCATGATCAACATTTGCATCCGAGGGGCTGATTTAACGCATTCTGGTAGGCCGCACATGTGAGACACCACGACCTCCAGTCAAGTCAGTCACTCCCTCACACATCTTCGGAACTGCCAGTATCAAGTATATTGAACAGGTTTGGTGGAGTCAAGAACATGTCGGAAAGTCGGCTTGGAAATGCACATGTGGCGATAGGCCTGTAGCTAGTGTATGAAACGATGAAACGCTGCTTGAACGCCGCACTAGCTGCGCAGTCTATGCCCAGTTCTGAAGCTCGCGACGTTTGGTGTGGCACATCTTTGCGAGCCAACCGATCAATCACAGAGCGGGAGTGGGAGGCGTGGAGAGGGCAACGCGTGCGTGACTACGCAACGTGATGGGCTTGGAAGAAGCATATCGGATGCATCCTGGTAGATGAGTCTTTTTTCGCGTCGAGGCAATATACTGCTCTGGCAGACATGATGATGGTATTCTTGACGCGCGTTGCGTCGACCTACTTGTATGTACAGTGTAACATAGCCACGATGGCCAAGATAGGATTCGTAATGCACAGATCAATGAACTCAGTCGTTCATCCAAGCTGTCACACGGCTTGCGCCAAAGCGTCCTGCAAACCGCAGGCCCGTGGAGCCCATCGGGAAATACGAGACGATGTACCATAATAGACATACTAGTTGGGCGATAGCCGCAACGAAGGTGAGGATAGTGCTGTGGAGCTAATCACGCGGACAGTGTCAGTAAACACAAACTATGGGGACGATAATCGATAAGGATGGCGTGGGGGCAGGTGGAGGTTCGCTCTCGGGCAGCCATGAACAAGGGTCGACATGTAACAGGGATAAATGTACTGGGGTAAGAACTTGAACTTACACCTAGAGAGAAGAAGAGTGTGAGAGTGATGCTGCCGAAGTAAGCAGCAGTGAACGGAAGCCTCGGACCAGAAATGAGGTGCTGGACTTGTATTTTGTCAGCGACGGTAGTGGTGGGCTCGGATAATGAGGCTGCTTACCGTATTGCATAGGGCCCATGAGGACACCCCAAGCTGCCAAAAAGAGAACGCTTCCCATGGACCATCTGCAATCAGGCCATGGATGTTAGCGCTAACGTTCTTCAGGTGATGTGCATACGACTTGGCGTGGTAGAGTCTGGACTAGATGAAGGCTGTCTGCACCCTGCAGCGCGCCGAACCTTGGACCCGCATGATCGCTATAGAGGGTCCAGTGCCGATCTTGCAGTGGCTAGAGAGTCAAGCGACTGGATTCGAGCAGGCTAACGTCCACAGTCGGTGAGAGCGGAAAGATGCGATCCTTGGAGACATTGCAGATTGCATGAGTTCGCATAGCCGTGCCGAAGGACGTATGCGGTACGTGTCACTGCCTATCCGCCTTGTATGATCTCACCACTGGCGAGAAGGCTGCATGCAGGGCGTCTTTGAATGGATACGAGGCAACAGGAGAGCTGAGGACTTACAAGATGGCAAATTTGCGCGGCCTGAGCAAAAAGACAGGCGTGAACATCAGGCCAATACAAGTAGCAAACATTGCCAAGGCAGCAAGGAGCAGCCCACCAAAGACGAGCAATCGGTCCCACCGACTCACTGCAGGTATGGGTTAGCGGACGTAAACATGAGTCAAAGGCTGTGTGCAATGCGAGGGTCCTGCATCCGAAGTGGTAACGCAGGAACTCCCTTCTGTCACATTATCGGTTGTCGCGCGGCCGGGTACGGTTCGCAGGCAGATGACACGTTGATGCCTGTGGAATTATGGATATCTCCACAACTAGACAGATGCGCATTTCAAGAATACCATCTGACAAAACATGGAAGGAAGACAAAGAACCATGGCGGTGCAGGTGAAACTAGCCCAGACCGTTGTCGTCTGATGACATCACGCGCCACAGGCTATAGTGTGAGGGGTTGTAGAAAGGCTTGTAGCAGTAGGGTATATCTCAGATAAAGTGGAGATGGGGAGCGAAAGAGACGCGTAAGGAAGGTGGACGTGTTTTGCCACAGAATGCAATGGAAGACGTAACTTACGCGCAAACCAGCCCTCTTCCTCCTCTCTGCGGGTAGGCGCTGGGAGAGGGGCGCCAGGGTTGCTCTCTGTTATGGGGAGTCGAACATAGCCACCCTCGCCGAAGGGATTCAGGTTCTGGATGCGGCCGAGCAGGGAGGGCGGCGCGGTGTTGATGGGCGCGTCTGCCTCTCTCCTGCTCCAGCCGAGCGAGTTCATCGAGTCGCGGAAGGAAGCGGAGGCCATGTTGGACGAGGTGAACACGAGGTGCTAGCGGATCTCGGTATGCCCAGGTGTGAAGGAGGGAGTTAGTCGGGAGAAGCTTTGGTCGAAGCCGCAGCAGGCGACACAAAGAGCCGTGGAGGTGCGAGCCTTGGTACGGCTAGCAGATAGCGGCCGTCGACCCTGGCTGGTGTATATGTAGCTGCCTGGGCCCCGCTGGGGTGAGTGGCTTGGGGCGCGTCGTGGGAGGGCACAGCAGCGGTTTGTTCGATTCGGTGCCACTGCTGCTACTGCGAAGACGGACCGGAGGATTTCGTGCAGATGATCGACCTGCGGTGTAGGAGGCAGACGGCCAATGGCAGATGTCAGACAGGCGTCTCAGATGGGACGACGGATGGGCGAGGCTTGTGACGAGGCCGCAGAGGGTGCGAAGGTGTAGCGGAAGGAGCAAAGGACCGGGGGCGGCTGCGGCGCGTGTGATTGGCGGGCGGGGTTCGCAGAGCAGGAAGGAACTCTCCGGCGTGTCGTATACTATGCGCCTAGTCGAGCGTGGTGGAGGGTGAAAGTGAAGGGCATAGTCGATGCCATTAGCGTCGCCTCGGTGCTCTAGCGACTAGCGCGAGATCGTCTCCCGCTGCCATGAGCCTAGCAAGCATCAAGGACCATGGCATGTAGAACCACACACACTCTCGGCCAGGTCGGCCATGGCTGCCCTGGACTGTCGACAATGGATGACGCTTGACAGGAGCCCGATGCCCTTTAGTGAGTCACATTGCGCGCCCTCACCCAGCGCTGCGTAGAAACCGGGTAGCTGAGACACGATTACCTCGTTCGTGACCAAAAGAGGCCACACCTTGCTGCCGGGGTGGGCGCAGGACCGGGGTGGGCAACAGGCAGAGCCACACTCAGCGTAAGGCGGGTGAGAGATGGCGAAGAGCCGCCAGGACGAGCGAGGTGTATATTATGCGGCCGTGCCGCGTCTCTACCTGTCCAATAATTCCTCTGCCCGATACGCTGTAGCTGCGCTTTCACGACATACTCAGTGTATGTCTACCTGTGGAGTACTCCATCACTATATCTGCGGACCACCGCGGGCCGAGCTTCCCTCCACTCCTCCTCGACGCCCTCATCTCTGTACGCTGCCGCACGTCATCCCCATCTTACACACCACAGCAGCGGCATCGTCTCGGCGCGCCGTGCTACTCTCTGCCGTTTCGCCGCCCTCGCCCTGGCTGGCTGCGATCCGCGTCAAACAGGCTGATTCGCCATTGCCCATAGCTGCTTGGCGCGAGCACTAGCACCACCACCTCTCTGACCGCCTTCCGGCTTAGGGCCCTCCCACACCGACGCCTCGCTTCAGCTGCCCCGTCGTCGCTCAAGAGAGAGAGAGCCGCTGCAGCCAGCGCAATATCCTCAGCCTGTGCCGCAGACAGACGCGCTGCCAAACGCACTGCAGCCCGCCTACCACGCTTCTGCTCCACCAGGACCAGGACCATCCCACCCTTGATCCCTCCCCGCCATATCCCCCGACTTCCTTCTCCATATCCCACCTCCGCTATTTTACCCACCACATCCGCCCGTCGCACCAGGTCTCCCTCACTGCAAGACGACATAGCCGCCACCTTACCAACATCTCACCTCTCCATTGCTGCCGCCCTCGACCACCAAGGCAAACCTCTTTGTCCCACCCCACGCCGCTACATCCAGACCACCACCACCACCACCACCACCCTCGACGACCAAGTTTGCTGCCCGTGAACCGCAGCAGCTAGCCGCCCGAGCGACCTCACTCCTTCTCTCCAGGACCGAGAGACCGAGTGTTGCAGGTGCATCCCCATTGCGCCTTCCTTCAGTTGTGAGGTGAGTCAACGTCCGGCTGCTCTTTCCTTTACCACCGCCTCTCCCACTCCACCACACCTCGCTTCAGCCTGCGTCGTCAACACCACGCCAACCATACCGCGGCCGTGTGTTACGGTTTCGCTGCTTTCGTCCCCTGTACCACCATCCCCATAGCGCCGGGCTGCAGCACGGCTGTCGTCCGCCGTTGCTCGCCTCGCGGGTTACCTCCCTGTGCGCCACACTCATGCAACCAACCCTTCAACCGCTCAACACTTCAGAATGATGGACTGTGCGCTGACATATGCTCTCAGTTCGATCCCGGAACACAGCTCCGAGTTCCCTCACTCTCCCACAACCACCTCCACGCGAGCACACCCAAACCGGTGAGCGATACTTCCCAGAACGACAACTCTTGCATACAGACCATGGCACTAACGTCTTCTGCGCAGACAAACACGAGCCTCCTCTGCCCCAGATCAGAGGCTTGCTCGTCCCTATCAGGCGTCACTAGCCAGGCTTCTGAGCTTGCTCGCACTGTCCTTGTGCACATCAGATAGCAAGCATCTGCCAGGATCCTTATAGCGACACAGACCGCCTCGTGCTGCAATCATCCTGCAAGCTGCGAGCGCGATCTTTAGTCACTTGCTTAGATCGACGACAGATTGTTTCAGATCATACACATCCACGTTCCTGGAATACTGCAACCCACAGTAATGCCAAAGCCTAGTAAGTACGCCTTTGTGACATCCCCCCACTCTGCACCGTCATGAGAACGGCGCTAGAGTACATCCATTTCCTATATCAGACTCTCCTCTCTCCTCCCTTCCCCGCACTTCCTCTTCCGTCATTTCAAACGTCAATTTCTATCATGTACTACGAGACCATACTGACTGTCCCTCAAGCGGACGCTCTCTTCACTCCTCCCTCTTCCTACTCTCCTCAAAAGCCGATTGCGAGGCTGGACCTTGGCTTCGACTCTCCCTCTGACGACGTGCTAGACGCTGATATCTTCAACATGACTGGCACAGGATCACCCCAACCATACATCAAAGAAGAAGTCGACGAAATGTCTTTTAACCAACGCTTCCTCGGTCACAACGGCCTTGACATGAACCACCAATACGCTAATGCTCAGTTCGCTGGGCATGAGAATGCAAATGGCATCAACCCCTCCGAGCTCAACATGAGCGGAAGCATGATGGGCAACCACTTCGCTGGCAACAGCTACATGCAGGGCGGAGCAGGCATCGCCGACGACGAACTTGCCGAGTCGCTGGGTACCTTCGAACAACAACCAGGCTTCAACGGCGGCTTCGCCCAGGAGCAGGTGGGCCAACAAGACTACTACCACAGTCACACCAACAACCCAAACATGAACCAGGTCTACTCAAATACCCCAGACGACCTGCCCATTCACAGCCCTTTCAACCACCCTGGAAACTTCGACTTCAACCAGTACCAATCAGTACCACAGAGGATGAACTTCCCTGGCAGCATGCCCAGTGGATCCATGCGCCAGCGTATCACCATGAGCCGGACTGCTTCTGACAGCCGCGCTCCCATGTCACCAAAGACCCCTGCCATGGCTGGTCTCCACCTCGGCACGCCAGACTCAGGCAACTTCACTCAGCCAATCATGACCAACATGCACCGCCATCAAAAGAGCGTGTCTGGCCAGTGGGACGGCACTCCCGGAAGTGCGCACTCATGGATCGACTCGCCCACCGCGTCGCCCCACCAGGGTACCATGCACCACCAGCAGATCACCGATGTCCTGCATTCCGGCAAGCATAACTCGCTACCTGCCAAGGTCGATATTGGCCAGAACGCAGACGCCAAGAAGCGCCGGCGTAGGGAGTCTCACAACTTGGTCGAGCGCCGCCGACGGGACAACATCAACGAGCGCATTCACGACTTGTCTCGTCTTGTACCTCAGCATCGCCTCGAGGACGAGAAGATTCGCAAGCACATCAACAACAATGGCCCCTTGTCGCCTACCATGGGCGCCACCGGCATGTCGCCCCCGCAAGCAACATCACTTCTCGCTGGTGGCAATGGAAGGCGGGCCGCTGGTAACATTACACAAGGACTACCCATCGAGGAGAAGGACAAGGGCCCGAACAAGGGTGACATTCTTAACGGTGCTGTCAGCTGGACTCGCGATCTTATGTGGATGCTGTCCAAGAAGCTTCAAGAGTGTGACGAGCTAGCTGCACGACTTCAACAAGCCACTGGCGAAGAGTGGGTCACCGAACAGACTGAAGACGAGAAGCGCATGAAGACCGAGATCCTCGAGGCTCTTGAGAAGAACGGCTCAGGTACCTTCCGATACTCGCGAGGCCCTGGCTCCGGACTCCGAGTGCCCAAGCACACCAACTTGGCCGGTGAACCTATCAGCGGCGCATCTCCACAGAGTCTTAGCCCAGGCATGCAGAGTACCGGTAGCGGTTCTGGATCGAATCAGCAGCAGTACTGGTCCAGTCTCAAAGAAGAGGACGAGTACGGCATGGACATGAACTGATCCAAAGCCTACTAGCTGTCTCTATTCTTCCGGCCTTCTTATCTCGTTGTCGATTCCTTCACTATGATACCCCGCGATACCCCGCACCCGTTCCTGCATCCTGCTTGATGCATACGCTAGAGCTGCTACAATGAGGCTAAAGACACCTCACATCGGTCGACCATTCCTCGGCATGTCGTCGCCCGCGCGCGTACCGTCTCTGCTGGCCAAGGACGGATGAAGCTCCTGCTTGCATCAAAGCACTTCCCATCTCGTTGCATAATATGTTCTACCCCTCCGTGGCACATCATCACCCTGGTTTCCGCTCATCATCATCCGAGCTTAGCCTACCAACCGGAGCACGAAGGTCCTCGTCGCTTCGGCATTCGAAACTCTCAGCACACGGCGGTCTCATTCCTCCCGGCAGCTCTGCGACTCGCTTTTCTTCCCTTAGTTTTATCTTTCTCGCATGTATGTGGCGTGTCACGGTTGTTTACCTACAGTTTTGCACATCACCACTCTTGTCTTTTTTAATGATGGTTTTGTTTATGGGAGGCACATGTAAGCATGGTCGGCGCGTTTCGGGTTGTTGGCGTTCTATGGTGTCAGCACTTATGTTGGTGGGAAGAGAACGATAGATGCAGAAGACGTTCGGATAACGCTTGCTATGGTTGCGATGGGCCTATGGGAATTTTTGCTACTGCGCGCTCTGCCTTACAGTTCATGGGCTCTGGTATGGGCCGGTTGGTCCCAGTTTCAATTTCATCTATATCAGTAACTCCGTCTTTCATGCTTTGCAAGTCAAGTGAAGTCATTTGGGCAGTGCCGCACTCTGCCTAGTCAGCTCTGGAGGCAGCCGCCACAGTCCTCCAGCCAGGCAACCGGATCGGAGCACGAAAAGGTCCACAAAACTAGCCTTTCAAAGTCTCGCTTCCCTACCACGCCTCTCCCTTGTCTCAAGCCTCATAACGTCCATAGTCCCCGTATACAAACAAACCGCTATCACCGCCGCCTACACGCAATCTCCAGGATTGCACAAAGATTGTAATACACAGGGTTCTTGGTCTGCTAAGCCGTGGCGTCGGCGCCATGGTAGCGCTGGATCTAGTACAACAATACCGTTTCTCAGGCTTATGGGAAAATGGAAAAAGCAAAGCTAGCCGCCCGCACCTCACGCCATCTCAACGGCTACCGAAGGGGTAAAGACAAAACGCAATTACAAGACCATGTCCGAAGAACGTTCCGGAGGTGAGACCGGGTGTTTGGTTGTTTCGGGTGGTGGGGTGAGCGTGAACGGTAGAAAAGAGGGAGAATGAGATGGGTGTATGTAGGAGTAGTAGTACATGCAGGTGATGAGAAGAAGAAACAACAGCCTGGTCCGGTTGGTTCGGTTGATTCGGGATTACTTGGACGGGGGAGGTTTAATTGCGCATTCCTGTACGGTGCGGACAATGTAGTTCGGTAGAAGGCCACCATGCAACGCATTCCACAGCCGCTCATACCCACAGCTCAACCTGAAGGGACAAGGAAGAAGATACGTAGATATCTCGGCCATAATTCCCACCAACCAAATCCTCTCACAATCGCCATCACCACAAACCTATGTCATGCAGTGAAATCCATGCAGTGAAATCCATTCTGTGGCGGAACACCTATATCCCCCCCTCATATAACCCCCGTCCTGCGTCCTGCGTCCCCGCCATCCTGCCGGCAGATCACCCCCCATGCTTACAAGCATACTACGATCGGTCTGTAAAACGGCCTCGGATCCCGCAGCCAATCAGCTGCCTACGTCCTTACCACGTCCTTGTTTTCACGATGCAGTGTCCTCCAATCGAGCGCGTCCGTGGTTCTTGGGCGGGTGGAATATGGCAGAATATGCAGGTAACCGTATACATACGCGAAAGGAACGGTGGGGAGTTCTGCAAGGAGAGACAAAAGCCGTTGGTAGGGGGTGAAGCAAGGACATGGAACGGAATGGAGTCGACCTGCGAGGGGAACCTTGTAGTGATATTGCTACACAATGGGATTGCGTCTATAAGGGGCATAGCGACTTCTCCGTCGCTGATGGGACAAAAAGAGGGGAGGGAGAGTACGATCGGTGTTGAGGATGTTTTGGTTGTGACGGGACATTGCAGGGAAGACGGCAGGTGGCTTGGGGGTTGGGATCGGTACTGACATCGTTCGTGTAACATGCGTACGTACGCACATTAGTGTGGATAGTTGTGTCCTGGTAGTTCATAGTGAGGTACGTTATGGTATGATAGCATGCACAGTAATGCGGTTGTAGTCGCTAGTTCGCATGTTCGGTATAGCTGGCATAACACTGCGCATGCATGCGAATCAGGTTCAGCAAAGAAGATCGACGTGGTCTCATCTTGCTTCAGTCCGTAATCTTCTTACCGTAACAGATGAACGGTACCTTGCGCAACGCCAAATCCGCACTCGCCCGTCTCCCACGCCCTTCGACAAGAAAGTAGAAAGCCCATCTGCCACTGACATCACAACACGAACCCCCCGTAGACACAACCACACTGTTTCAGAGACAGAAACACAAGTAGCGCAAAAAAACAAAGCATATGTGGCGCTACCAGAGATGCGCATTGCACATGCTCAGATAACCGGACATTGCAGCAGGGAAGATGGGTGTTCAGTCAGTCATCGTGCCCCATCGGCAGTGTCAGCTAGCCGGCTGTACGACGGTTACACCCCCCGATCTGCAGAGCAGAGACGTCTCCTAGATCTAGGTTTTGCGGGGGGATGACTCGCAGGTTTTGGTTGAAGATCGGGTAGGACGGTTGCGACAGCAGGAAGGATGACGGAGGGTGGCGATCGATGGGAAGGTGAAGGTGTAGCGGTGAACAAGGTAGTTTTGCGCCGCTAACTTATCAAGGTTCTACTAAGAACGATGTGATTCAGATAGAACCTGCAGTGTTAACTGCACTGCCTTGTCTTTCAGCGCATCTGCTGTGGCGCGCCCGGGTATCACCAGTATTCTCGCCATCTACAGCATCTACCAAGCTGTCATGGGCTTTCCTTGTTGTGTCCAACTTGCTTGTATTTGTGTCTTTCGCGGAGACGGTTGCCAGTGCCCGCGATCCGACCATCCCCTTGTCTCACTACAGGCGTCGCCGGCCTGATCCAGGGCCGCCCCTCAATGTCACCTGTCGCATCTGCAGTCTCGTTGCAAGGCGCGCATGTAGCGTATGTACGATGAGCATGTGGATCGTCTGGTACATCGAAGGTGTTCGGCAAGAAGAGTGGAGACGTATTCCGAGAGGTCTATGTGAGACACGTTCTCCGGATGCTACCAAACGGCTGACCACGTGATGTTTGTCCTTCGATCGAACAGCGACTCGTTATCCTAGGCTCCGCGAGGTTTGTTTTGGCCGTTGGGGTGCGGTGACTGAGATGCGTTTGCAGTGGTGGTGGCAGGGCCGTCACTGTCTTCGCCGAAGCCGAGGTTCTTGAACGAATCCGGGGCCATCAGATTCCTGTGAGCACGATGAGGATTAGTCATGTGTTCGTTATGTAAAAGGAAGGGGAGAGCGAGAGGAAGGATGTGCGACTCCGCAGATGCTGCCAAAATGGGATAACGGAATGATGTGGGTAGCTGATGGGAAAAGAGACGTCGCGGGATGTTTGCATGGCGGTATATCGATGGCTGATTCGAAAAAAAGAGGAAAGGGTACGTACCGATCCATACGACAAGAAAGGTATGACTTAGAGAGGCCGCGGCATTCGGGGTCGTTGGTGCCGCGATGAGACTTGATGCATCGGAGGTACGAGAGCATGATGTCCTTGCATTCTCCTGAAATATGGTGTCAGCGGGTTGTTTGTATGGATAGCGATGACGGCTCGGTGCCAAGATGGTTCGATTGGTTCGATGGGACGTGAAAGTGGACGTCAAGGGTTTGTGAAGCGTACCGTCGTGGTCGAGAGGGAATGAGCCTCGCTCTGGCCTGAAGTGAAACAATTGTTAGCACAAGGGCTCGCAAGGTAGGAAGAGGCAGCCATGTTGTCTGAGTACTCAAGGCTCGAAACGAGACATGCGCATTGAGGAAAGGACTCACGGATTTGGCTTTTGGACCTTTTGCCCAAGCCCGGCGCCTCCAAAGTTGCTCATATTGGTGGAGAAGTTGCTGATTTCTTTGATTGAATAAACTTCGGGAGTCCGTGGCGCAGTAGTCGGGCTTGTTGATCGTGTGGAAGTATAGTGGTGACTGTGGTGGAGTGAGGATTGGACAAACTTAGCGCGATCGGACTCGTTCGGTGGCCAGTGCTGCGCCTTCATCCTTGCAGCCTCGGGATGACGTGCCTCTTGCATTGCAGCTGCAGGACAGGTCGACGTCACGACACTACTACATTTGCATTGTGAAGCTCAACTATCATGATGATGTTCATTTTATTGTGCGAAGGTCAAGTTCGACCTGCTTCCACCCTAATGTTTGAATCTCCATCGAGGTAGACAGCCTGAACGCATGCGCAGTTTGGCTCTATAGCCCATCCCACAGTACATCTCCAGCGAGTATCTTAAGCCATCATAACCCTATCAGTGGTCACAATCTACAAAATCTTTTCGGCACCCTCATTGCTGTTCTCAAGCTCAGACGTCTCTTAGTACTTAGTGAAAGGCTTCGCCGCTTTCTCAAGCTTGTCCATCTACTTATAGTACGCGGTGTAGATCTTCTCCATCTTCTTGAGATTATCCATCTGCGCATGGTATCCCTCCCAGATCTTGTTGATCTCTTTCATCTTGCGCAGGGCCTCCTCTTGCTTCTCCTCAGGACTCTGAAGTTTCTGACGTCTACGCTCTTCCTCGTCGAAGATGTTTGGCCCTTCCTCGTCGTCTAGGCAGCGGGGTCCGTCCCAGCGTGCGCATAGAGCACCATCTTCTGCTGTGTGGGCATAGCCATCTGCTGTGGAGGGTTAGCATAACAGTTTGTGGAGCCGCGATGATACCAAGCTGATGCTATCGGTGTAGAATACATACCTGTTTTCGGAACTGCGCGAGGCGCAATGGGCCTGCGGTGGTCGTTGTAGACCCATTGTTCGTGTGCGACAGAGGAAGCGGTGAAGAGGCTGATCACGGTAGCCATGATGACGGTGAGCTTCATGGTGATGAGAGAGAAGTTCTTGGTGTTTTGGGTCTTGATATGGTAAGATTCTGAGATGTGGCCGTGAAGACGCTGTATGAGAAAGGATGTGTTTCAACAAAAAGAGGAGGGAGGAATGCGAGCATTTATCGAAGAATGTGGCCCTGATGTTTCCGCGGTACCGCGCATCTAGACCTGCGGGTACAACCAATAGATTCTCAGCATGTTATAATCAATATATCCTACCTTACGATGCGCTGAACTCGTCCAGTCACAGAAACTGATTTGAACGAAGCCAGGCAAATATGTGTGGGCTACCACGGATGTGTTGTTACTCACTCTGCTACCACTTAAACCTTGCCCTGAACGTGTGCGTATGGTTCGGTGATACATACCATTCTACAGATATCCCCGATCATACTATCATGGCACCCCCAGGCGCTAAAGAACATTCACGTGAACATTTAATACGCGATCATTGGGCGCATGTCTTCCTCCTCCACGAGTAGCTCGGTTGAGGTCTAGTATTTCAGCGTTCAGTCCGACCAACAATAGTATAAATTTAAGTGAGAATTATGTAGAGGCATGAAAAGATTAGCACCTCAACACGATGTGAGTACTAGCAAGTCGAATCGGGGCGTTCAGTTAGAGGATCTTAGCATTCACGTAGGACGTTGGAGGCATTGAGCAAAGCGAACAAGATAACCAAATTAAATGAAAAGAACGCGACTACAAAAACCCAGCACGACCGACCATCTCGCACATAATCGTGAACAGCCAGTCATCCGCTGGAGTAACGACTGAACTCGTACGGGATTCGCATCTTCCGCACAACACACCGGCGCCACCTTCCATCATCTCCCAAAACCAAGCGCAAATGCTCTACTCCGTGACCCTCCCACATGTAATGGTGACTAGAGTCTCGAAAACCCCAGTTCTCCTTCTTCATTGAAGCAGCGTATTACACCATAGTCTTCTTCCCTTCATCCCAGTTCTCATAACCCCCGTATTTCCCGTCGCAATCAGGGTTGTGGCACCTCCCACCGTCCAAAGTTATAAGTGGATGAGTGCCATGGTAGTTGAGGCTATACATCTCGTTAGCTTTTGTATTCGATGACCGAATCCTGAATCTGCTTCATTAATATACAAGGACTTACGTGGTAGCAATAACAGAGGGGCAGTTGGTGATGAGTCGGCCGTCATAATAGAATGAACAGCCGCCGTAGCCAGGATTGTCGTGGTGGTGGTGGTGCCTGTGCTTGCGGGGCTCGAGGTCGGACTTTGTCTTCGTGACGAGTGTCGTGGGGGTTGCGGTGACTATGGGAGCGGCGGTGGCAGTGGTGGTGGGAGCGGAGGCAGCGGTCATGCGCGGCATCGGAGTGAGGTGAGGGGTCGAGAGGGTCGCAGAAGTTGTCGTGGGAAGGGGAATTGAAGCTTCGGTTGCTCGTGCCTCGACGATGACGGTTCGAACGGGGCTCGCAAGAGCAAAAGAGGCCAGAACAAAGAGTACGGCGAAGATTCCACGCATTTTGATGGTAGTTTGACTTAGTAGTAGTGTGGGAATGTTGTATGAAGTAGACTGTGCTTTCGAAGATGGTGAAAGGAGAGGGAGGAGGGATATGTTATATACAGAATACTGCGATGGCAAAGGTTTCCACGAAAAGTCAAGCCATGGCCGAGCATTGCGTATTATCAATACCAGATGAAGTACTAAAGGCCCGACCATGTTTTCTTCGCGAAGTACCAACGATACGGGTGGATATCAATACCAAGAACATGGATCGAGAAGAACGTTGTTGCGCAAAGAATAAGAGGGTTGAGAGAACTACGGTTCAGAGCCAGCCGACCATTGGCCGGCATACGGGTATCAAATCACGTATCACCATCGCATCATCCACGAACTCACCAGTGCCGCGCAATAACCAGCCACCCTCTCTCCTTGACCGCATTGAACAGCACCGCAACCCGCTTCCGCTTGATACCCTCTCTAGCTGACACATCCTCGATCGCATGCTTACCGTCTAGATGCCTGAGCAGCATGGGCCAGCTCTCTCGCAGCTCTTTACCGGTTATGCCACCCAGCCCGCCGTCTGCGTGTTTCGGCGGACTAGGGTTCGTCGAGATGATCGCCGTGTCTTCGAATGTCTGGGCGATTTTATCGAGCCATCGCGCTTCTGTGGACGATGCTTTCTGCGGCGATAGAATAGTGGTGGGCGCGAAAGAAGATGGGTCGGGTGGGGCCAGCTTCTCTACCGGAGATGTGGGCGAGACTATCGAGTTGCGCGATGGGGATGGGGAGGTGGGCTTCAGATGCAGAGGTGATGGACGGTGGGGCTTTACGTCTCGAAGCCCGAGATGAGATGGCGATTCCGCTCTCTGCGATGGAGTAAGCGCAATGGTCGTGCGTTGACTGCTCGTACTCCCAGCGTCCGAACTCGTGCGCGCAGAAACGCTACGCGACATGGCGGTCGACCCAAGTCGTGGGCTCAATATCGTGCTGCTCTCCATTTCCTCATCCGCATCTCTGCGCGTGCGTCGCAAAGGTGATGACGTTCTCGCAGAGTTGAGGGAAAGCAAGCTGCTCCGCTTGTCGGAGAGTAGGCTATCCGCCACCGAGTCGTTGTCGCTCATCAATTCTCTGCGCGCCTCCTCAGCTTTCTTGATGCGCTCTTCGTGCTCCATCTCCGCTGCGACCTGCGCCTTGATCTCAGGCGTTACGCGCACCCAAGCGAATGTGCGCAACTGGGTCACCCAGCCGCCGCGCATGAGCCAAGCTAGAATCTCCATGTAGGCTTCACGATGTTCGGCGGTAGGTATAAAGTTCCTGTAAGGCCGAGGTGTACCGGAAAGCATGCTCAGTACTTTGGGCAGCGTAGGCAAAGTGGGGAAGCGCTGCGCATATACCGATATCGCAGCTGGGAGAACAGTCATGTCGGCGTTTGGACTGACGATGTACGTGTCGCGTGGTGATAGAGGGGCAACAAGACGTGCCCGCCGCCAGTAGACAAGATGGCTTGCTATGTATTCCATATCATGCGCGGATATGTTGTGCTTCTTCGAGATCTTCAACAGCGACTTAGTGGGTATGATGTTGCGTATATAGAATGCGATGGCTGCGGCGTTGCCACCGGTATCGCCGCCCAGGTCCTTGATCAGCACTTCAGCATCCTCCAAAAGTAACAAGGCGGCATGCTGTGTCATAGGCGCATCGTCATCTTCAAGTATGACGTTCGAGGTCGTGAGCCATAGACCTGGCATCTGTGGTTCGATTGCGGTGGGGAGATACGGAGTGGAATCAGCCTGTGGGATCTGGAAAGATGTGTTGAACGTCGCATCGAAGTGGATGTGGGCTATCTTGTCGTGCGATATCGCGTCGAACATGATAGCGATCGATTTGGCGAGCGGTGATGTGCTGACAATCTTACGCCAGGTCGCCGTTAGCGATTCGTTCGTCTCCTTCGCGCGCTGCTTGATGTCGATGATGCGCTTGGATTCCTTCCACACGTACTGGAACCGCGCTTCCTCGTACTTGAGTGCTTTTGCATACTTGCGCGTGACGTTTTCGTACATCTCTTTGACGCGCTGTTGGTATTCCAGAGCAGGCGGGTTCAGCACGAAGACGACATTGAACATGGTCATGTCCGGGTTGTTGATGTCAAGGCTTGTCGAGTTGCTGCGTGCATCTGATCCAGCCTCCGACGGTCCACTCGACACGGAGTCGTGGCCATAGCCTGGCTCATACCCTTCAGGCATTCTCAACTTCTCCGGGGCGGGTTTGGTAGGCGGTTCGGGAGAATTCGCATCGTCGTCGTCGCTTGCGCTCGTGAGGTTCCTGACCAGATCGCCATCTTCAAGCTTCTGCTGATCTGAGCGCTTCTTCTTCTTGCGCTTCGCCTTCTTCCAGAGCCCGTCATCCCTTACAAACATGGGCGCGCCTAAAAAGACAATGCTCTCAACACCAAGCTCGAAGCGCCTCTTGTTGTATTCTTTGCTTGGACTCAACATCTTCTCCAGCGCGTCCATCTTGAAGCCCAGCACGGTATCCCAGTCGTGATCTCCACCCTTGCCCCGGTGTCCATTTCCGTCCTGCTCATTGTCGTCATCCGCATCCTCCTCGTCGATGGTCTCCTGTTTGCCCCATAGCCCGGATCCCAGCTTGGACTTGTCGCTCACGCGACCGGTCAGGGTCCTCCCCGATGCGCGGCCGCCGCTGGTGCGACTGCCTATCTCAATGTCATTGTCATCATCTGAGTCGGTACTGCTATCCCATTCGCTATCGGAGCTGCGCGAATCGACGCTGGCCGTCGACGTGTCGTGCCGAAACCAAGCCGGGTCTTTTGCAGCAGCGAGTGCGGCAGCTGAGGGCGAGAGTGGTGGATAGTGGAAGACGAGACGTGGTCCAAGCGACCGCGACTTGGTGACGAGGAGAATGGCGTGGAGGTTGGAAGCTGGTGGCAGCGGGACAGCCATTGGAGAGTGGAGGACGGGCAGGTGCAGCATGCGGGGAAAGAAGCTGCGGAACGCCGGAAGATCTAGCCCGATATAGGTAGGTCTTTCACCCCGATCTTTGCAACAGCAGCACCGACATCCATCCATCAACAAGCATCATGCAAATCTTTGTGCGAGAATCAATCAAAGGCAATCAAGGCGCCAATCCTCACTTCGTGGCGCGCGATCGAGTAGACTCATGAATTCGAGGACTGTCTTCACGAAATCACAGCGAGCGGCAAGGAGCAAGAAAGGCATAGCCACGGGGCTTGACTATTCTCCTGATGACCACCGTCGTCTCATTCGACGAACCAAGAGCTCAGGATGCACTGTGCATGTTCGCGAACCGGTTCGATATACAATGACCTCAGGTCCTACAAGGTCTTCCTCAAGTACTAAAGAAGAGTAGTCAATCCCTAACGCACATAACAAGTCCCCCTTCTAGCGGACTCAGATCATCTAGTACATTCTTACCACACAGGAACGGCCTACTAAAGATTGAGCAAATGTCAACCACACGGATCTCGCCTCCATACACCCCCCGTTCTAGTCCGGGCAGCGTGCCCACCGCAGACATCACACAATACTACCTAGACAAGGACTTAATCAAGTTCGCAGGCTTCATCACCTGTGTACCCCCAGATCTCCTATATAGCATCATGTCCGCCGCAACCGAAGCCGACCTCAGAGCACTGCTCGCCCTGATCAACCCTCCAGATCTACGAATCGAGTCCGGCTTCCTGATCACCAGAACGTGCGCGCGCGTATCAAACTGGCTAAGAAACGGAAACCAAAGATGGGCGGTGAGTAAGGACGTTATTCCTTGTGCCCTCTTCCTCCTTCTCAAGTTTAGGGTCTTGACACGCGATGGGGTGTGCAATTCGCAGACGCACGAAGAGAGTCTTAGGCTGGCTGTTGCCGTCAAGACCGCGTATGGCAACCTCTGCGACAGTAGGGTATCGCGACAGACGTGGGCCGACATTATGGGTAGACCGTACGCAGACATTCAGGGCGCTGAGATCGCGCTTCTGAAGGACCTGGACTTTAGAACTTGGGTGCATGAGGCTGAATTCAAGGAGTTTGTGGGCAGGTTCGAGATTGTGTGGGAGATGCTGCTCGAAGATCGAGATGACGTTTTCTTTTGACGGATGGAACCTACTCTTGGATATCTAAGGACAGCGTAATGACGATCTTATTGGGATCTGGTTACGATTAGGTATCATCCAAGCGCTCTTTCGGACAACTTCGAGATAGCACAGTGTCAAGATGTGTTGAAATAGCATTGTCACAGCCAACACACTTGATGTTCATTCGTTAACAGTGTTACAAATTGCTATAGTTCACACTCACAACTCTACATGCTTCCACAGCACCGCTCGCGCCCGCGTTCAAGAAATGCTCATCCTCATACTCTCTTCTCTCCGTAACCTGCGTGCAATCGGCTAACGGCTTCCGCTAACAAGACACCAGCGCCCTTGCTGCAATGACTCCACAAGCGTCTTCTCCCACCATCGACTACTACCTCAGCCCGCTCCAGCCTTACTCATCGCCTTTCCTTGCCCATCCTAGCACATTCATCCTACATGCCCCCTTCGACATTGTGGAATCGACGCCCCGTTCACCTTCCTCACGTGACGATAAGCTAGCACACATCGACCCAACGACGACGCTCTGCGCCCCACACTATTCACGAACACTACGTGCCAACGCTTGTTCCGTTTCTTCAATGTGGACTTTTACAATGCTCATCACTGTCCCTATAACCTATCCTATCTTCAGGCCAGGTTATCGACCGCATATGAGTGATGCAATGCTTGTCGCAATAGCGGTGCACACCGCATACAAGTTCCTTGCTCACTGTTCGGTGAACTTGCAGCTTTGGGCATTGCCACTTGAGCTGAGCAGGCAGAGCCTACTGGAAGGCGAGAGAGTGTTCTTGAAGGCGATCGACTACGCTGTTTTGGCTCGGCAGGAAGAGTGCTTACAGACGAAAGGTAGACTCGATACACTGTGCGAAGAGGTATTCAAAAACGCTGCCAGACCGTCACCTCCGGAGTTCGTAACGAAGAGGCTAAGGACCAAGGAAGATAGGTCAAATTAGAGCAACTGCATTCAAGGGATGACTAAGAGACATAGCTCTAGTGATACACGAACGATGTCGCGTTGAAGATATGCGCGAGAGATAGCATGGTCAGCATGATGCAACGCCACCACGGCCGTGGTAATACGGGGGCGCATCTGAAGCTGTCGCATGAATGGCACGATGGATTGCAACACAAAAAATGCCACTAGAAGACTGCTTTTTACTGAATGAGCAATGTCTACTACGCGAGTTGAAGTGTACACCCGTAGACCTAACTCTTCTCCCCGTTTGCATGGTAGCTGCCAGCGCGCTTGTTGAAGTCGCAGATATCAAGCCCTGTGAAATTATTGCTACCGATCCTTCAGGAGAAGGTGTTGACGTTATAACAACTGGAAACTAAGGGGCTCTTAAGGCTACGTTTGACTTGAGCTATCAGGGACAACGCTGTGAGCGGTGGCTTAGCCGGAGACGTCGTGTTTCCGCATCAGATCTTGCTGTACATGAGTCCAAAGACTATGGGGTATATGATCAACTTCTCAAGTCCACTGCGACGCCTCATCAATGAAGTGACAGCTGGAGTTGTCGACACGAAGAAAAACAACGGTGCAGAAGTCGCCACCGTCAGCCTCGACGCACATCATGTCGCGATCGAGAACGCCGCAAAGATCGGGTGTTGGGATGCTGTACGGTAGTCACTCGTTATGTATAGTAATAATCGTCAAAAGTGAGCGGAAGGCATGATGTTGCAACGCTTGTCTGTGCTCCGATGGTGAGAAGACGGGCGAGCAGAGTTCTTCCTCGCCTCGATATGCTTCCAAGCTGAAACACAAGCGGGGAAGACACGCTGACGGCGACGATCCATGCCACGCACTGGTTGGCTCCGGCTGACGGTGATCTGGAAAGGTTGCAGACGCCACTCGCCATGCGACTTCCCTGAGTACAGACGCGAGGGTGGTAGGCGCAGAGGGATGGACGTCTCCTTAAGGCTGCGGCGGCGGCGGCAGTCAGGTCTGCCTCACTACACTCACCTCCGTCGCTCGTTACGATTTGTATAATTATGTGGGCAACTATTGGGACATGGCTGCTGTTTGCGCAAGTCTTCGCGCTGGGTGTCGCTGCGCATCGCGACTGGTGGCTGCAGAGTCTCCCCCAGTGTTGGCGGGACTGCTTTGGGAACACAGATGACGGCTGCAGTTATAGGAAATGTGGGTCGGACACTATTCAACTCCGTCGCGACACAGACTGATGGCTACACAGGTATATGTCAGACGAGCGAGAGCAGCACGTCCTACCTGTCCAGCGCTGTCGCGTGCGCCGTTTCCTCGTGCAAAGCCGACGAATCGGACATCGAACTCGTCCTCGGACCGCTAGAACTCTACTGCGATGCCATCGGCTGCACGATACCGGCTGAGGTAGTGGAAGATGCCTACGCTGCTGTGTCGAGCACCGCCGTCCCTCCGAAACCCACGCAAGCAGCCCCGACAACGAAGCCCGCCGCTCCCAAACCCACCACCACGACCCAAAGCGACGACCATGACGACGCCGGCGCAGACCTGACAAGCGCAATCAGCACGACGATAACAAAGACATCGACCGACGGCGACGGCAACACGCTGCAGATAATTGTGCCCATAGTCATGGGCCCCACGCAGATCAGTACGGGCAGCATCATCACGTCGACTGTGGCTAGTGGCACGCCCATGTCCACGACCTCATCGTCTAGCCCCTCTGCCCAGCCTTCCGCTCCGGTCCCGACGCCAGGCGCCTCTTTTACACAGACATCGTCGGCATCGGGGTCGGAAGAAACAGATCCTCCGCCCGCCAACGGCAACGGTAGCCCGTTCGAGAATATGCAGGCCGGTGCTGGTAGATGGACGCTGTCAACACCAGGAATGGCGTTTGGGGCTTTCGCTGCGCTACTCATGCGCATGTAGTTTGCAATGACCCAAATGATGTAGTGTATTTGCTTTTGGGGGACTCGAAGATGAGACGCGATGAGGCTGTATGGTAGTACAACAACTTCGACCGCTCTATGTACTGTATGATACCTAGATATGACGAATGCTCGATTACGAAAGACTACCACCCCAAGATTGTGCCTCAAGACACTGATGAAGTCCACAATGCGAATTTGTAGTCAGCCATCGTCGACCCTGATTCTCGGAATGCCAGCGGATGACTTTGGTCCACGCGCATCATCCCACCGCTTCATCGCCGCAAGCCAATGAAAGCGAACCCAATGCCAAGTCGCTCCAACAGTCCTTGCACATCATTGAGACTCGCAAGCTGCACCTTCTCGAGCCCCATCAATCCTCTAGATCTTGTCCGAGGCCTGTTCAAATCTCATCTCGTGTCTTCTGCGGCTTTGCATGTGCTTCAGCCTCAAGCTCGGCCGACGCAATTCACCCGCCCTCCGACGAGAAAACCTCCGACACGGCGACTTGCCCAAAGCGGAACCGACAAATCAGCGTGCTCGAATTCACAACAACGACCGAGGCATCTTCCTCTCCAAGCAGCGAAGTGGTCCCAACGCGTCCAGGAGGTAGCATTCGGAGCGCGCGAAAGAGTCCAGTTCGTTTCAGTGCGTCATTATGCAAACGACGTGGCATGAGTGAATTTCTTCTGATACAATATAGATAGAGCGAGCTGTCCGGCCACGAGCAACGGTCATCACAACATTTTCAACAACCAACGAGCGTGTACCTTGATTTCTTATTCATTTAACTTCTTCTTCCTCTCACTCTTTACTTCAAAATGGCGGAGCTTGAGCCCATCCCCGGCCCTCCTGGCCTGCCAATCGTTGGCAACATTACAGACATCGACGCCACAAATCCCATTCAGTCTATGTGTAACTTGACATTGAAATACGGTTAGTGATTCCCTTGTTTCACACCTACCTTGCTATCGGTCTTGTGTCACATGGATTGAGTTGAGATGCGAGTTTGCGAGCCGAGAACTAATGAGTGCAGGCCCGATATGGAAATTCTACCTTGGCGGCGAGCGTATCGTTATCGCAAACCAAGCTCATATGGACGAGATCTGTAACGAGGAGCGGTTCTCAAAGATCATAGCAGCATCACTCGAACAGGTCCGCAATGGTGTCCACGATGGCCTGTTCACATCCTACGGACCACAAGAGGAGAACTGGGGTATCGCACATCGCGTTCTGCTCCCTCAACTCGGCCCGCTCGCTATCCGCAACATGTTCAACGAGATGCACGACATTGCGTCCCAACTCGTCATGAAATGGGCAAGACACGGCCCTGAACACACCATACACGTCACGGATGACTTCACCCGGTTGACTCTCGACACCATCGCTCTTTGCGCTATGGACTACCGGTTCAACTCCTACTACTACCAGAAGATGCATCCTTTCGTCGATGCCATGGCCGACTTCCTCAAGACCAGTGGAGACCGCGCAAGGAGAGATCCCATCTCGCAGATGTTCTACGGTGCTGAATCGCAAAAGTATTGGCGAGACATCGAACTGCTTCGCAAGACCAGTCTGGACGTCATCAAGATGAGGAGGGAGAACCCGACTGACAAGAAGGATCTGCTGAACGGCATGTTGAACGGTGTTGATTCAAAGACGGGCAAGAAGATGACGGACGAGAACGTCATTGATAACATGATTACTTTCCTGATCGCTGGGCATGAGACGACATCCGGCTTGCTGTCCTTCACCTTTTACTATCTTCTCAAGAACCCCCAAGCATACGACAAGGCGCAACAAGAAGTCGACGATGTGATTGGCAAGGGCCCGATCACTGTTGATCACCTGACAAAGCTTCCCTACTTGAACGCTGTGCTCCGCGAAGCTCTTCGTCTCCAGCCCACTGCGCCTTCGGTTGGAATGACTGCCAAGGAAGACACCACGATTGGAGGAAAGTATGCGGTCAAGGCGGGCGTTCCTCTCGTCGCGTTATTCCCAATGGTATGTAACTCAGGCATCTTGCTAGCTCATGTGAATTGTCCCCCGTGACTAACACTTCGACATAGGTCCATCGCGATCCAGTCGCATATGGTGAAGATGCCGAGGAATTTCGACCTGAGCGAATGCTTGATGCGGAGTTCGAGCGACGCAACAAGGAGTTCCCCAACTGCTGGAAGCCCTTCGGCAACGGCATGCGAGCTTGCATTGGAAGGCCATTCGCCTGGCAAGAGGCCCTCCTGGTGCTCGCAATCCTCCTCCAGAACTTCAACTTCACTATGGAAGACGCGTCGTACCAACTTCAGATCAAGCAGACGCTCACGATCAAACCCAAAGACTTTTACATGCGCGCGCATCTCCGCAATGGAATCTCCGCGACTTCGCTCGAGCGGTCATTGGCGTCGGCTACGCTCAACGACCCTCCTCCAGCGAATGGGGCACCCGCTGTGAGGAAAGAGAAGACCACCAAGGGCAAGCCTATGGCCATCTACTACGGCTCCAACACTGGAACATGTGAGGCACTTGCGAACCGACTTGCTGGTGACGCTGCAAACCATGGCTTCAACGCGGAAGTTGTCGACACCCTGGATGCTGTACGTGAGAGCATACCTACTGATAAGCCCATTGTCATCATCACCGCATCCTACGAGGGCGCGCCTACCGATAACGCCGCACACTTTGTCAACTGGATCGGTACACTTAAAGGCAAGGAGCTGGAGAACGTCTCATATGCCGTCTTCGGATGCGGCCATAAGGACTGGGCGAAGACATTTCACAAGATTCCAAAGTACCTGGACGCTACTCTCGAAGAAAGAGGCGCGACCAAGATGGTTTCGATGGGTAGCACCGACGCTTCATCAGGAGACATCTTTACCGACTTCGAAACCTGGGAGGACCAAGTATTGTGGCCTGCCATGCGCGAGAAGTACGGATCGTCAGAGGCGGACGGCGAAGGTTCGTTGGAGACGACACTTGACGTCGAAGTCACCGCTCCTAGATCATCTACGCTACGTCAAGATGTTCGTGAGGCTCGCGTGGAAGAGATCGAGGTCCTTTCCGGCGAAGATGCCACGCAGAAGAGGCACATCGAGATCAGCCTCCCCTCGGACATGACATACTCAGCGGGCGACTACTTGGCTATCTTGCCTTTGAACCCCAAGGAGAACATCCAACGCGCAATGCGACACTTTGGATTGAGCTGGGATTCGATGCTCACCATCTCCTCAGCTGGCCCCACCACGCTTCCTACAGATACACCTGTCAGTGCCATCGATGTCCTTGGCGCGTACGTAGAACTCGCTCAGCCTGCCAGCAAGCGTAACGTGCTCGCGCTTGTTGACACTACACGCGACGAGACCGAGAAGAAGGAGCTTGCGCGTCTCGCGGATGAAGCCTTTACCTCTGAGATCACCGCCAAACGTGTGTCGGTGCTTGATCTCCTCGAGCGATTCCCCTCAACTAAGCTGCCACTGGGCGTCTTCCTGAAGATGCAACCACCAATGCGCGTGCGCCAGTACTCTATCTCGTCGTCGCCTCTGTGGAACCCCAACAATGTCACCCTCACATACTCCGTTGTCGACCAGCCCGCACTCAGCGGTCAGGGCCGATACGTGGGTGTAGCTACCAACTACCTCGCCAACCTTGCGCCAGGCGACAGGCTGCATGTCAGCGTGCGCCCCTCGCACAAGGCCTTCCACCTGCCCAAGGACTCCAAGAGCGTCCCCGTCATCATGATGGCAGCCGGCACTGGTATCGCCCCCTTCCGCGGCTTCATTCAAGAGCGCGCCGCCCAGATCGCTGCCGGTCGCAAACTAGCGCCCGCCATCCTCTTCTACGGCTGCCGCTCACCGTCCACCGATCTCATGTACGCCGACCTTCTCAAGCGCTGGGAAGAAATGGGCGCCGTCTCACTCCGCCTCGCCTTCTCGCGCAAAGCCGACGAGTCGCATGGCTGCAAGTATGTGCAGGACCGTGTCTACCACGACCGCGCCGACGTCATCGAGCAATTTGAAGCCGGCGCGAAGCTGTTTGTATGCGGTTCGCGCGGCGTGGGCGACGGCGTGCAGGAGACGTTGATTCGGATTGCGAAGGAGCGTTTGAAGGAGAAGGAGGGGAGAGAGGCGGACGATGCGAAGGCGAGGGAGTGGTTTGAGGGGCTTAGGAACGAGAGATTCGCTACGGACGTATTTGAGTAGGCCTAAATAATGTAGACAGCAAGAAAGAGTTGCACCTAGTCGACGCGCACGCGTTTTGATGAGCATGGCTGCACCGTGCCCCGCTTACGCCTCCCCCACCATAGTCTGCGCCACACCTTCACTCACCACCTCGTCTTGACTTTCATGTACCTGTCAATTGCGCAACTTGGCATCATGTCACGACATCGCGCAAAGTCTCAGCATCCCACCCTTACTAGCTGAACGTAGGCTATCGCCCGCGCAGCCAAGGCGCAGAGTTTTGCGCGTCTTGCAGCATGTCGAAGTATCAGCGAATCACATGCAAATCACCCTGACCTAATCTAATCAGATTGCATCTAATCAGATGATCACCTGCCACATCGATGCAGCCGCCATGTCCGACAACACTCCGAAGCCTCTTCACCCTCGCCATGGCATACGCAATAGGCCAAATGCGCCGCTGACATGATGACTACCGCAGTGGAACCGGTGGCCTATTCGAAATGCAGGTCGCACGCAGGATGAGGGGACATCCCTCAATTTTCCGGCAATTGCTTTGGGCTCGCAGAACAACCCTCTGGAAGTGAAGATGGGTCTATTGGACTTGCTTTCGTCGCCGACTATCGAACGATTGAATGAATTGTTCCGATGGAGACTACTGCTACTTGCGGTGATCCCGCTCGCCCTGACATACTTGGTACTGAAGTTTACCAAAGCGAAGCCCCTCGATCTCAAGCAGTATTCGCACTTCCCACAGCCGGAGCCAGCAGACTCCATTCGAGGGCATTGGCCATGGGTCGAGAAGATTGCTGCAGAGGGCGATCCACGACGCGCGTTCGACGAGATGCTATACGAACAAGCTGAGAAGCTTGGGTTCCCTCCGGTTCTGCTCGTCGACTTCCGCCCGGTTGAGAAGTTTCCTGTTCTCTTCATCCTAGACAACGATGTCGCGGAACAAGTCACCAAGCCTAATAAAGCGTTCCGGACTAGTATGCCCAAGCATCCTTCTATTCAACAATTGGCTCCGCTGGTCGGCGCAAGGTCTTTGGTTACTACGGATGTAAGTCGTGATCGCGCGGGTGTAGATCGATGAACGAAGGTGCAAAGGCTGACCAGTGACGACAGGGTGAAGAATGGAACGCGCTGTACAAGCGAATCCGTCCGGGATTCCAACCCAGCCATCTTCTTGGTTTGGTCGACGTCATTCTGGACAAATCCGAGACTTTCATCGAGCTCATGGAGCAGAAGGCCGCGACTAGCGAAACCTTTCGTCTCGACGCATACACCACGAACCTTGTCTTTGACATTATCGGAATAGTGACGTTCGACATGGATCTTAATGCGCAAATCGACGGGAAGCAATCCGAGGTTCTCTTGACGTACCGCGCCCTCTCGCAAGCCTTCAACAAGCGCCCTTTCGGGGGAGTAGGATGGCGCGGCTACTTCTCCGTGAATGAGCGTGAGATCCGCGCGAAAGACAAGCATCTGGACCGCATCCTCAAAGCCAAGATCAAAGAGCAGCACAAGGCTTTGCTTTCGGGTGATGTCGACACAAAGCCGAAGAACAAGAGCGTCGCAACCCTCAGCCTCCACGGCATCGACCGACTGACACCCCAAATTCTTCAACAAACCAGCGATACACTACGTGGCTTCCTCTTCGCCGGCCATGACACGACATCCATCCTTCTGCAATGGGCCTTCTACGAGTTGCACACACATCCGTCCGCTGCGCAAACTCTTGGGGAAGAGCTTGACAACGTCTTTGGTTCCGATGCGCACCCTTCCGCCGTCGTGAAAGCGCTACGAGCCTCGGATGCCGGCGTACTATTGAGCCGTCTGTTTTACACCGATGCGCTGATCAAAGAGACTCTACGACTTCATCCTCCTGGCACAACTGCGCGTATTGCTCCAACCGCATCGAACACCATGCTCACTCTTCCCAACGGCGACACACTCCCCATCGACGGCCTGTGCGTAACGCCACGCGCATACACCATCCAGCGCCACCCCAGGATCTTCGGCGACAGCCGCAACGACTTCAAGCCTGAGAGATGGCTCGGCGAGGAAGGCAAGCAGATTCCCGAGAGCAGCTTCCGGCCTTATGAGCGCGGCCCGCGGCGATGCACGGGATCTGAACTCGCGAACCTGGAGACGAAGATCATCATCGCTTGCGTCGCAAGGCACTTCGACTTCGTCAAACAAGGGCTTGGGGAGCTGGATTTGAACGAGAAGGGCGAGGTGCAGGTTGGTGGGAACGGCAAGGCGAAGACAAAGGGCACAATGTTCTCGACGCATCAGGTTACGGCGAAGCCTGTCGACGGTATGGAGGTCAAGGTGCGAGTGAAGAAGCCGAGCTATAAAACGAATTGAATGCGACGCGAAGTTAGAAAGACAGAAAGCAGCGAACAAAGTTAGAGAAAGTAGAAATGACACGCAGAATTAATCTCGCTACAGTATGAATTCTATTTCCCGCTGTAGTATCTCTGTGAAGGTCGTTCTTAGATAGTGGGCTATAGCTTCATGAGTTAATCATAGTAAGGTTAGAGTAGGCATGTATATAATAAATAATATTTTTGCATTAGGATGCTCTGTTATTGCTCTTTCGTCTAGTTGCAATGTTGCTGTGTTGCGTTGGAGCGGGGTGTCGTGACCGCGCTACCCGAAGATAGTCTAGTACACAGCCGGCAGAAGAGAAGCTCCGGCTCCGAAGGCTCCCGCGCTCGCCACCGACACGCTTGGTACGCGACCTCCACTCCGATCACCATCATCGCCAACGTCCCTATTCATCTCAATCTCGTCGACTCGCCGCCGCGGACCGAAGTCACCGTCTCTCGTCAGCTCCTGGCCCCCGTTCCTCTTCGCCTACCTGTCGTCTCGCCTCAGTCCGCCATCCCCCAGGACCTTTGACGCGCGCACGGCGTTGTCGGCATATAGCCCACGCGTCGGCGACTCACGCGTCAAAGGGGCGGTTCTCAAGCAGTCCCAGGTTGCGCAAACACGGCGGGGACAGCAGTTCACGAGCCGACACCGCGGCTCTGTCACACCCAGCACCATTCGCCACGCTGGATACATCGAGTCAGGGCTGCTCTCCGCGTATAACGCGTCCAAAGCCCGGGAGGGTGGGTTCCTTTGCGGTCGCTTCATCGCAAAGGGGATATCACCTGTGAGTGATATTTCTGCACCATGGTCCGATATCTTGTCTCCAAGAAGGGTGTGCCCGTGTTGGCAAGCGTAAGATCAGACCCTGCTGCACAGTCGGCATGTGTGTTGGTTGTGAAGTACAACGAGGAGCCATTCCAGCTTAGCTTCTTCCTACAATGCACGACTTTCATTCATGGCTTTGATGATGAGCAAACTTTCACCTTGATCTATGATGCTGACAACCTGATGCGCGACCTAACTTCGCTCAACAATGCCACCACGTCCCTTTCCCACGACCAGTTGACCTCCATCGCACGCGCCGGAAATCCCCAGATAAGAGCATTGGCTCTAACGCTTGCTAAGCCATGCAAGATCAGGTGCCCCTCTTCGACCGGTACCCTGACCTCGAAGAGCGGATATGAGGCTCCATTTCACCGCCTGGTGGCCCTCGCGAAAGCTACAGCGATCGATATCACCTTCGACTACAATTGGGTGCACGCCGACAATCGTCTTCCTCTAGACCGCTTCTTCAAACACATGGGGGCGTTTTCCGGGTTCTCTGAGAGTGCCGATGGATATAAATACGCAGATTGGGCAATCTTCTGTACGGTTGAAGAAGACCGCCAACCACCACCTTCGTACACAAACGCGGTGGACACAGGTGCATCACGAAAGCGACCCAGGCGTGGTAGGTTGCCTCGTGCCACAATTACCTTTTCGAAAAATACTTATACGCAAGATAGTTACACCACCCTCACAGCCCGCATCGCCGCCTCATAAACGTCAGCATCACGACTATGGGTCGCCCACAGAAGTAGCGACATCCTCTCCTTGTCCGCCCGGCACATCCCATCATTCGCCATCCGAGAAGGAGGAAGCAATACTTAGCCATGCACACCCATCTTTACACGCCAGTGACGAGGTCGCCTTCCAAGAGGCCATCGACAAGGCCGTCGAGGCTCAGCTTCCAGCCATCGTGGAGAGCATGTTGCCCAATATTCTCAGGAGCATATTGCCGGATGTCCTCCACAAATCCCTTGCTCCCAGACGATCACAATCTTCGTCGCCTCCCCCTAGAGCCAGCTTTACGCCGGAACCTTCGCCTTCTCTCGGCACACTCATAGCCGACCGTCTGGAAGATCTGGCCAAGGATCATCTGGCTTCCATCTTCGCCGATGCCAATGACCAAGCTTACAGCCTCCGCAGCCAAGCTGACGGAGAGTTTGAAGACGTGGTCGCTGACCACAAGATCGATGTTGACACAATCAAGGAAGACTGCATACGAGAGCTTGGTGAAGTGGTCGACGACAAGCTGTGCAAGTTCAAGGAGCAGACCGAGGAGATTGTCGAGACTGCTGTGGAAGAAGTAGGAACCAAAAGCGGTGAAATCCGTGACGACATCTGCGACGGGCTTGAAGAGTTTATAAAGGTAGCTTCTGCTTCACTTAAAAGCTTGAGAGAAGGGAAAGGCCACCGCATTCGTGTGTCGACGAGTCAAGACTAAATATCATGAAGCATATCAGTACATGATGAATCGCCATCTGTTGCTTGTGATGTCGCTGCCGTCTGACGTTTAGGCATTGTATCTTGTCTCGTAATACAACGCATGCCTGGCAATGTCGCGTAGTCGCATGTGACTGGGTCTTCCTGACTCCTGGGCGGTCTCGCGCTCTCCTAGTCGATGGCATCTCCATCAGCCTTGCTTGGAGCCAAGACTTCACTTTCTCACGTACCTACTTGCTAGGCTTTCTGAGACAGATTTACGAGCACAGGAATCGTAGATCTAGCTTTTCGCACCATCTTTCGTTTCTCAAAAATTCCATTGGTCCGTACATCATGGCAGTTCTTAGTAGTCTCTTTGGAAGACGTCGATGCATTCGTGACGACATGAGTCTCTTATCCGTGTTGTCTACCGATATCGCTGCAATATCGTCGTCCGTGTCTCTCTTTACTTATTTACGACCGGCATAGCTTCGCATCTGCAGAAATGCCCTCCAGGCGGAAATAGATACACCAGAAAGAGATGCAGCGGGTGGCTCACTCATGATCAACGTCGTCGCTCGCCTTACCATTCACCAACCAAGTATGAGCCAACCTGATGGACGCTCCTCGATAGCGCCACGTAGACATCTTCTTTCGACATGTCAGTAACTCTTATGTTCAATGTGTCCCACTCGACTAAGACTACTCTTCATCCGTAACAAAGCCAGTGCACGTTCCCAGTCTACGCCACTTTCCCATCTACTTCAAATTCATGCGTATACTAGACCACATTTCACTGCTCTTGCTCGCACCAAAAGTTTGTTGAGAGCACTACTAATACTAACTTTGTTCACAATGAAAACTGTCGGCTTAGGGTAAGATCTGAATCGCTGTTGCAAGGTCTCTATGTTTGCATAATGCACTGTCTTTGCCATCCGCTAGAAATTACTACGATAGCCTATCGCATATCATTTACTTACGATAATGTTCGCCGATCTTCATAAAGTCTGCAGATCCTTCTAACGCATTTGCCAACTACACACGAAGAATACAATAGATTACGACCAACTATACGCAACCCTTCCCATTCACGGTCACATACGCCTCGTAAGACGGGAAATCATCGACTTTGCCGACGAACGCCACAAAATTTCCGTCCCTGTCAATTGTCAACGTGCCTTCAATGTCAATCTTTGGCGCCCCAAAGACCAATGGGTCGGCAGCTTTGCCCCGGTATCGCGGTACAACGTTGTTGGTGGAACCAGTGACCAAGAGATATCTCATGTCGTCAGTCCCTGCGGTGCCACGATCTTTCTGCTTGCCATTGTCGCAGTCAACCTTGACAGTTTCGCCGCATCGGTAGGTTTGCGACCAGTCCCAAGCGATCGCACCAATCTTGACATAGCAGTGCTCTCGACGCATTGGCACGCTTGCACTCGGGTGCGTAAAACCTCGCTGATCGGTGACGAGACAACCTCCAAAGTTGGGTACCCACTCAAGAGACTATAGAATACCGTTCAACATAGTTTTGCCGGAATGATTAGGCTATGGATGCGTAACATCTTCGAAGTTCAAGGGTATGAATGACTTGATCCAGAAGTTGACATCGATCTGGCTACTTGGCCCGGGATTGGATGGTGGAGTATCGAAGACGCAGCTCGGCACTCTTCCTCAGCGCACTGTCTCCATAACCATAGCTCACGCTTCTATTCGACGCTTCAGTGCAATAGGGACGCCACACGCTATACTCTATTGATGGTTCTGAAATCTTTGCGGGCTCAAATGCATGGCTGCGAGGATGCAGCGTCCGACACCTTGGCCGCGGCAAGAAACTAGTGTTGCTATATCGTACATGTTCTTGGTCAACAAGTTGACGTACATGAAGCGTTTCCCTACCTTCTCTCGGGCGGCACTTTTGCTTCTCGTCTCTCGCCCCCTTGGCATCAAACCTTCTGCTCTGGGTAACGAAACCATGCCAATACGACTGTCGTGGCCTCTACAAAGCGACTCACTTCGCCTGCAGTTATCGAGCTCGGAAATGGCGGGATTTGGCTACGCGGCACTGCCCGCCCCAGCCAGGGAGCAAACCGCCGCATTCATACAATGAGCGCCACGACACCCGTCCTGAGCACCCGGGCGCGCTCAAGCCCGCTGGTAAAAGATCGCTTGCAACGAACATCCTGCGCAACGCTTGGGTGGACTGGACGCGAAAGAAGATCTTCCACCCCGTAAGCAGTTGTCTCGGGCCACGCGACGTCACAAGATTGCTTACATTGTGTAGTTGATAAACTGCTACTGCGACTGAAGCACCTCCTAAGCCTATACGTACATCAACGCGCTCGGCGGTCGCACTATACTACCCCAATGTTCGACACGCTCCTTCACCCCGCAAACGACCAGGATGGCGCAACGAGAGGATGTCGAGACCACAATGCTTCCACGGAAGATGGCATGCGCCATGTACATGGATATGGCGACAACAGAATGATCGAAACGCCGTCAGCTATCACAAAAAGTTGGGATTGGGAAGACGTCGCGTACAATTTGGATCAGAAACGTAGAATCGTGCCCCTGAAGCCCGGCCATTTCTTTCCGAAGGTCACGCTTCCCACCGCAGCGGAAGTGCCAGCCCGGCTTGACTTTTGTCTCCATGGAACGTCTCGTGCTTCCTGGAGGGGCTGAACTCTATGGCGGGTATGGATCGGGCGCGTGAACAACATGGCGACAGCGAACTTTCTGCACCTTTTTAGAAGCGATTATCGCAATCGTTCCACGGCTTGTTGTATCCAGCTGCATGAGAATTGTCGCGACTGCGAGAGGGCGATCGAATCGTCAAGAACAGCTGGGCTGTGACAGAAGACGTGGGCGAGTTGCAATATCAGCAAGCCTTGGATTCGTCGCCAGCCTGTGCTAGGAGGAAGTTGAAGAGGTGTGAACACATCTTCTTCTGCTATGTAGCTTACGAAATCATGAAGGAAACGTGTCGAGATTTTATTCAGCACTGTAAGCATCTGGATTATCAACTCAGATACCGTATTGTTGTCACAGCCTTTTGCAGCAGGCACGTGTTTGACTTGCCGCATGAATTGCCGCTATTATGGCGATTGCGCCACCAACGCCCCGCACCTCGTCGCCAAATCTTAGGCGCTGCGGGTGCCTGGCACTATATCCTCAACACCAACACTAAATACACCTCCCACCAATAGTCGTGTCTCTGCACATGCACTGAAGAAAATTGGCTTGCGTCGTCAATATCAGTATTCCCCTTTGAGATTGCTGCCTTACTGCTTGATTCTTTGCGCAAACAGGCTGATATCGCGAAACCATCGCGCAGTCACGCTCGCGCTGCCGCCGACCGCCCGCTTTCTGTATATGTAGCGCTCGTCTGTCTTCTCCTTGTCTCTAGTGACACATATCGTTATGGAACTGCCCGATGAACTTTACCTCGAGATCTTCTCACATTTGCCCCAGCACCACCTGCGTTCAGTATCTCAAACATGTCGCGCTTTTGCGACCATTGTGAAGCCGCTGGTGTTCGCGACAATCCATCTAGATGGCTCTCCCCAGAGCAGATTCGGCAGGATGGAGAATGACGAGTGTGTCATGTACCCGGGTCGTTCACGGACGGTGGAGTTGGTTTCTTTGGAAAGTACCGTGGATGAGCTGATCGCGCACGACATTGCGCGTCATGTTCGGAACCTCAAGTTTAGTCCTAAGTACTACGTAGATGGTAAGTTGAGCCGATGGATGACTGTCTCATGGCCAGACGGATACTGACCGTTCTTCCAGGGTTCTGGTCGAGGTATCGCCATTGGCTAGAGCGGGAGCATGATTACGAGGAAGACTTCCACAATATGTATGAGGAAGAAGACTTCGAGACAGATTCTGAAGGCGAGTATGTCGGTATGCGTCGTCTCGCAGCGGAACGACTAGCAAGACCTGGTAAAGAGCGCGAGTTGATCGAGCAGGCGGAAGCGATCTGGGCCGCGAAGGTGGAGGAGCAGCGCGGAAAGGCAGACGCGATTCTAGCAGCAATGGTCAAGCTCTTCGCACATATGCCGTGCCTGAAAGCTATTGAAGTCCAAGAGCGGCATTGTAACTTGGATGACTATGGATTTGAAGAGGGCGGCGAGTGAGTATGGCCACATAATCGGCATGGCACGAGACTAACGCAGTCAGCGATGAAGTGAACGAGCAATTCTCTGGATGTAGCACCACCTGGAAACACCTCGAACTCCTGAGCTCCGCTGTCCAAGAGTCGAAAAGTCGCATCCAGAGTCTGGTTCTCCCCAAGATTCATCTGTCTTCAATCACAACAAGTGCCGCCTTGGAACACATGTTCAGCTCTCTCACTGCACTTTCTTTCAATGCCGAGAGTGTAGAAGTTATGCTCGACTCTTCCAACAACGAAGCCGAATCCCTCGCTGCCTTGATCCGTTGTTCATCAGAAACGCTACAAACGCTCGAGTTCCGCAACATGACTACAACACATCCACAACTACCGGATGTGGGTGAGCACAACATCGCAAGGCTTTTTGGTAGCGTCAGCGCCACCGACTCAACAGACATCAACCCGCTGGTCTTTCCGGCCTTGACAACTTTGAAGCTACGAAGTTTGGTCCTGGACACCCCATCTTTCATCAACTTTCTCTCCCGACAGCCGCAATTGCGATACGCTCATTTTGAGTACATCTACCTCGCTACCATAGGTTACAAATGGAGCGATATCGCCGCTAAACTGCCGTCATCGTGCAACAAACTATATATTGGTAATTGTGGGCATGAGAAGTGGGGGCTAGATTCACCCGCAGCGTACAATCACATTAAGAAATTCTTGCCGTTCCAAGAAGATATGCCAGCTACGTCAGGTTGGCGACTCAATGAGCAGGCCTTTCACGAAGAGATGGACAACGAGATTCAACGACAAATGGATTGCGGCATGAGGTTCTTGCCACCGGAACGCTGGTTTCAGGGCAAGACGAGAGAGGAATGGGTGGCTATGATGCGACTTGCCAGTGATCATGCAGAGTATGAGAAAATTTAAGTTATATCTAGGCAAGGTGGCCAACTACTTCTAATACAAGGCACTCAGCGTCTTTGTCATGAGATCATTAGCATCGATATGGGTGAACAATGCAGATGTAATAAATTGGCGCCATATCAAAATGACGAGATTTTGGCAAATTCACATCACAATTCCGAGTGTAAGATCTTACTACAGCAGAACTATCGTCACAAGGAGTTTCACTACAAAGGAAATTTACGCCAGTATTGAAGACACCCCCATAACTAACCCGTTTCGACAAAAAAAAAGCGATTACGTCCCTGATACTCTAATCCTTCCTGTCCCCTTTACGTTACGACTGCTGCTTTACGAACAAGGAACGCGGCCGTACACTGGTCCTTGTCTTCCTGAATTGCACTGAGCTAGGTTTACCCCTGCGCATACGTCGCCAGCGTTTCGTGAACAGATCCAATCGGCGAAGAAACACTTAAGGGGCGCAACTCATGATCACCAGCAAGCTTGTAGATGGAAGGATGTGTTAATGGCATGGTTGACATTGATGACGACGTAGGGTCGTGAGTCAAAAGAGAGGGCGACATTTCTTCTTGGTGAATGTCCCCAAGTTGCGGACGAATGTCGCAGGCAGTTCGTCTTGGTCTAGCATATCCTTGAAGACCTGGTCTTCAGTTAGCAGGTTCAATAATAAATATTTTGACTGTATGGACATGCCTCGTCTGGGCATTCCTGTTCGGAAAGCATGCGCGTGGCAGCGCTTTGGACTGAACCGTCACTACTGAAAAGCGGCGACAGCCCCGATACCGACTGGTCAGTATTTATGCTCGTGCCAAACCCGCAGTCGGGTGCCAAGGACTGACCTTCAGGAAAACCCCATGTAGACAGTGACTCGGGAGACCAGCCAGGCCCATTGAAAGTGCTTCCGAGATGCCCAAGCGGAACTTGTACACTTGGTAAGGGGGATGAGAAGAGCCAAGACATGCGTCGAAGGCCAAAGGTACATGGCGGGACGATGAATCACCGTAGAGATCTAGGTGAACCTGGTGAAGGCATGTCGCAGAAGAGTCACCAACTTCGTTTGAGCGTTGAGTGGTCCTACTCGACGTGGACGGCGCGATTGAGCTTCCGCTTGGTACAAAACATGAGCCAACACCAGACAGGGGCGGCACGGTCGGCTGCTTGGCCCTTGAGCGGGAAATGCACGTCCATGATCATACCATCGACGTTTGGGTGGCCGGCGTCGTCGGATATCAACTATCCTATGAACGACATCCTTGGTTCCAGGTCAGAAGCCCTTACAAGACTGAGAACCTCAACCGCGACGACCTCGTATAAAGCTTCCAAGAGATGTACAAGGCAACATGTCTCCAACTCGACAAGACAGGCGCTCCTACCGACAAGCTCATCCGCGCCTTGGTGGGCAACGGACATGCCTTCAATCGCATCAGTGCCGCAAAGGCGCTAGAGGACCCATGTCTCGGATGAGTTGGGGAGCAGGGTTCAAGGTTAGGAGAAATCATAGAGAAATAGATGAACTTCAGGTGGGCAATTGCCGATGTACTTGTAGACAGAACTCAATTATACATAACATATTCTGTATATACCCACTGATATCTCCAATTACCAAAGGCAGAATATAGAGAGCAGTGGGTGTCTTCAGGGTACCTCATGGCACTCCGGTTGAAGGGTGATACTCGAATGTATGCTGCACCCACTTTTTACACCATGCGTTTTTGGTACAGACTTATCCATAACTGGACTAGCGTAGACGAAACCCCTCGTCTCGTCCTCCAGACCCCTACCCTCCATCTCCATCTCTTCCTCATGCTCGGTCCCCGCGGCTCGCGGCGCTCTTCATTCGGATTGCGCTGGCTTTCACTTAGGTGTTTGCCTCGCTCACCCCTGTCCGCGCCATGTTCCTGTCCCTGCCATGCAAATTTCAACGGCCACGCAACCATCGTCCGCATAACGACTTCTAGATCCTACATGCCACGTTGATACGTCTGCGACACTCTGCTTACCTGAAGGAGGGCCGTTTTCCAACGTGCGGCAGAAGGCTGAGCGGGGGTTGCGAACGCCGCCTAACTGGTAAGGCGCCCTACGCATTAACCTTAGCGCTCCGCCTCGTTTCCAAGTGAGTTGGGAGAATTGCTCCAGAGAGTGCAACGCCGGTGTCGTGCTCAACACGCACATTTGTTCGGAGTGATTGCACGGTCAACGTCTCTTAGCACCGGACCCTTCGCACCACCACATCGACGGCAATCCATTTTCCAGCACGGGCTGTACCTTATCACCCAAAGTCTTTCGCGCGTACGATCCCTGCCAGGGCCTAAGCGACTCTCCAGCATCAAACATGGAAAGGTGGCTGCTTACGCTATGCAAGCCATTTACGCCCCATCCGCAATCGCCATCTACAGTACATGTCTTAGTCGCCCGATTTAGACAGGCTTGCGAGGTGCGTACATCTTTCATCCTCAGCCTCGCTGTCCACGACCTTAGAACAGCACTGCCTACGTATGTATCAACAACAGCTTCCTTCTGCCAATATGTATAACAGTAAAATGCCCAGTGGGTTCATCGCCCACACAACAGATCACAGACATCTACATCTACTTCCCGTGCTGCTCATACTATGAGATATACATTTGCGCTTCTCAGCGCCTTCCTGCTGTCCCTCCACTGCATCGCTTCACCCACACCCACATTCACACCCTTCCCAGCCGTTGCCGCTAGAGATGCCATCAGCTCTCTGCCATCAGCAACCGCTCCGCCTTCTCGTCGCGATGACGACTTTGCACCAAGCATTGCGCCGTTCTCATTAGACCTTCCTACAATATCAATCGCAGAACCTTCCATACCATCTCTCTATCTCGACCTTCCACCCGAGACCTGCACGCCTGGCTTCAGCTCGTATGCAACTCCCGGGCTTGATGGCTACGTCCCTGCGGAGGCATGCAATGCGTTATGGGTATACTTTCCCAACTTCGCCGCGGCAGTAGCCTTCTCTGTACTGTTTGGCATGCTCACAATCGCACATCTGACTCAAGCAATCATGTACCGCAATGGCTTCTGCTGGGTGATCATCATGGTCGCTCTCTGGGAAACTGGAGCCTATGCATTTCGCGCTCTTGGTTCTAAAGACCAGCAATCCTCCGGCATTGCAACGGTCGCTCAAATCTTGGTTCTGGTAGCGCCTATCTGGGTGAACGCATTCGCCTACATGGTCTTCGCCCGCATCGTTCACTTCTACTCGCCTACTCGCAAGGTCTGGTTCTTCTCCCCTTCCATCCTCGCACTCATCTTCGTCACCCTCGACATTGTTTCCTTTGTCATTCAGCTCGTCGGCGGTGGAATGGCAGGTCCAGGCGCAAGTCCAGAAGCACAAAAGAAGGGCTTGAACATATACATGGGCGGTATTGGTATGCAGGAAGGCTTCATTGTTCTGTTCCTGGGGTTGGTCATCAAGTTTCACCGCGATCAGCTTCAGGCGGAGAGGGTAGGACGCTTGCCCGCGGACAAGATCGGTGGCTGGAAATGGTTGCTGTACGCTCTCTACACATGCTTGCTGGCTATCACTCTTCGCATCATCTACCGTCTCGCCGAGTTCTCCGCCGGTCTTGGCGCAAGCAACCCTCTTCCGAGTAACGAGCCTCTCCTGTACGTCTTGGAGTCAGCTCCAATGTGGTTGGCCATCTTCGTGTGGAACATAGTCCATCCTGGTCGCTTCATCTGTGGCCCGGATGCCAAGATGCCGCGTTCGTGGCTGTCTCGTCACCTTTGCTGCTGCTGTGGCAAACGTCGTTGCGACGACTGCAATGGTAAGCTCGGCCACGCTGGACCTCATCATCAACGCCTGGGAGACGACTCGGATCTGGAGGACAATCAAGAAATGTATCCCGTGCCGAAGAGTACCAGAAGTCGTGATGCTGTCAGCCCGACGAATCCTTTCCTGGATGAAACATCTCGCGACTCTTCCTCGAATGCCAACGCCAAAGAAGGGCACCATCTTCGCCCTTCGTCAGCTGCCGAAAATTTCCGCGATGTCAGCCCAGAGCCAACATCGTATACTGCATACCGTCCCCGCGAGGTTCTGGGCTAAGCATAATCAATTCGATTCGCTCAGCTCGTTTTATCGACGTCAGGTTCCAGTAACGGTCTTACAAAACTGCTACTGGTCAGAGACACGAAAATTGGGCATCACTTTTACATTTCAGTACTTGTCCTACTGCACAATGCGCTATTACAGTATAGTATTCTTCCTGGTTTCTCCTATTTAGTTTTTACAGGTTCAACGAGGCTGTACACTCTATAATGCTCTATACTTTCACACAGAGATGCCACCAATCTCTATACAGAACGGAAGCAAATCAGACCTCACATGCTTTTGAGGACGCTCATCAGCTAGGTCAACCAACACCGCGACGGCGGACGATCACCCACCTGGCACTGCTTCAATCAAGCGGCTACCCACAGCACTCAAACAAGCAGCTCTACTTCTACAGTGTAGGGGGTGGCCTATGATCACATCAGCTTCTCCACAAACGTTCGAGTCCGAGGGAGGTGTGTAAGCCCAGGGCACCTTGCATGGTCACGTGGATTATCCACCAGCCAATCGGCCCACCACTTTATGTATATAACCTATTCACAGACCTCTTGATTAGGAGAACAACTACACAACACAATACACCTCAAATCATATAAAACCGGCTTTTTGCTGACATCCTGCAGCAAGCAGAGTGCACGGCCCCTTATCTAAAAAAGAACTAGAGCTGCACCTCTTGGCACGAAGCATTCATTGGTCAGGTCCTGATCAGCAAATTCCGCCGCAACACCCTGGAAGAGGAAATGTCTAGTCTAAAACCTGGCCAAGCGCAGTATGGAGCACGCCTTGGACCCCACCGCCTTACTAATTGGCCCCCACCCCCACACAAACGGGTGCTATTGCCGTGCATGCATTGCCCTTGTTTAAAACGAGATTGATTAAATGTCTGTGTTGCACGCCTTATTTTGATAGCCCGTTTATCAGGAAACGCGCTCCTGAACACTTGCGTTGTGTATCTTTATGGAAATCCAAATCTGATTGTACAGCTTACGACACAGTCGAAACCACAACAGTTAAAACCCTCAGAGATTAGCAAGCACTATGGCTTCCTGCTGGGCCGCCAACGGCAGGCAATCGCCTTTCGACGGTAACACCCACGTGCCATGTAACATGACCGCCGTAGAGGAAGGTGGTCATTCGACATGCTGCCCCATCGGCGACCTATGCCTCACAAACGGAATGTGCCTCAACGTGGAAGACAGGGATAAGAAGAACTGGTACTGGCGAACGGCATGTACAGATAAGGAGTGGAAGGACCCCGCCTGTCCCCTCTACTGTAAAGAGATCGGTAAGAGAGAACAAAGTAACTTACTTTTCGGCACTGATGCTGACGGCCACAGAACCGGATAGGAACACAGGCCTGGTATTCAACTGCCTCAAACCAGACTCGTGGTGCTGCGCATACGTCGGAGTGGAAGGCCTCAAGGACTGGTCGTCGCGCGCTGATATCAACACAACGTGCTGCGCCATCGCCGACCTGAACTTCTCCGCCGAAGGCCCCATTGTATATGCGACCGCCACCAACCCTATTCAGGTCAGCATACAGTCTACCTCAATTACAACAACCAGTGCGCATCTCAGCGCCATCTCGCAAGCGACAAGTGGAGGGACTGCGACAGGCACTGACGATCTGCCGCCTGAAGTTAGCACCGGGCGGCCCACCGGGCGGCCTAGTGGAGCGCCTTCGCAGGATGAATCCTCTTCAGGGCTGAGCACAGGTGCCAAGGTCGGGCTCGGTGTCGGTGTACCGGTTGGCGTGCTTGGTATCTTGGCAATTGGTGCGTGTCTTTGGATGAGACGTAGGAAGCGAGCGACTAAGGCGAAGAATGTGCCTGAGCTTTATGCTCACACGGATAACAAGAGTACCGCACCGCCTTACCAAGAGACTGCAATGAACCAGCAGGGTGCTGCGGTCTACAGGCATGAAGCGCCATCGCCGCATATTGCTGCTGAGTTGCCTGCCCAGATCGAGCCGCATGAGTTACCACAGCAGACGAGACCAGCATAGTAAACATAGGCTGTTAGAGTTAAGTCTTGTACTTTGTCTTTTATCTCTTACATTAGAGTTAATTCTGTGGGTGCTACGTCAACAAGGCGTCCACGACTTATTACACTATATCGTGCTATACTTTGTTACGGTTAGGTTCGCAACTTATTTTATTATTCTACGTATCTTAGTTCCTAGTATATGATGCGCCGTGGTATCGGCCCTTGATTCTTCCTAATCGGGTAATCGTGCATGTCACAAGACGCTACGAGCACGTGTTCAAGAGCTTACAAGAAGCGTTGATTGTAGCTACGTACGATATCTAGTGTAATACAAGACGTTGCGTAAGGAACAGAGCAGAATGCGAAGCGGTGAAAGATATAGCTAGGGCCGTGCGCGGCGCTCAGGCCTTAGCTGGCCAATTAACAGATTTCGGGTGGACTGGCGAGCCACCCGAAATCTGTGCGTTCAGGTGTTAGGGGAACCACGGTGGTTACCGTAACAGTGCACTCTGACCTAAAGACGCGTGTATGCAACGAGAATCATGTGCTGATTCTCTCCCCTTACAGTCTAGTGTGGTGCCACCCCTTAATTTAGTATAATAAACCTAAGAGACTCTATTTATTAAATACTTACAACTTTGCCTCATACGCAATGAATAGTTTACTTATAACGATATCTTTGTATAACTCTACAACGAATCTTCTACGCATCTATCTTATTGAGATCAAACCTGAGTACCTGCACTTGGTGCACCGCTAGATTTTACTCCAACTGGCCTTGAAGTGTCGACACCAGAAAACAACAACGACATTGGAGAATACGTTCCGCCACTCAGCTGTTTGGGGAGCCCCTCACTGGGTCCCACACCTACCAAGCCTGATGACGCTCTAGATCTTCCTATGATCAATAGCGACACGCTTATAAGTACCGGACAGCCGGTCGAAGCAGAGCCCGATGGTATCGCGAAAATCAACGACGACATAGGAGCGCTACATGTAGATATGACTGTTATCACAGAAGACGTGGCTATCGAGCGAGGGGTTGAGAAAGCTAGGGAACTTGCAAACCGGTTGACAGACCAGCTGATTAAACATCAAGGATGCTGCCAGCATTGCCACCAGCAGTTACGAGAGGAGCGAATTGAACACCATCCAACCTATTATTATGGCCTTCACTAGATGGGATTCGAGAGGCTGTAAATTGTGCGGATTTACTAGCTTCAAAGACGATATCAGCTCACGGATTAAACATTGCTACTCAAATGGACACAGCATCTAGGCGCCAACCTTACTGTGACCTAACCAATATGAGGCGCGGTTCGGACCCCGACCCGCGCTACAATAGGCTTAGCGTTAGGGTTACGTGTCCCGATTAAGCGATTTGCACCCCCCGAACCGCGAATTCCGACCCCCCCGAACCATTACGCTACAGCGGTTATCAGCACTACATTCGCATACAAAAGTTTCTCGCGCATACTTAACAAGCGTGTCTGCAAAGTTTCTACTTGTTGCAGGTAGATTTACGTTGTGGGATCTAGCTTAGGGTTAGGGTTATCTAATAATGGAGCTGCCCGTCTGGAACACTCGCGCGCCCGCATCGCAGAACGCAGAGAGCAGCAACAGCAGCCCGCCCGTACGCAGCAAGCTGCAGGCAGTTTCGCTAGACAACTGTGCTGATATTCTCTGCTTTTTAGCTGATTTTTGTGTGCTAGTCTGCAAGCAGCACTGCAGCGGCGTAGTTAATTTAGACAAACATCTCTTAGAGCGACACGCGACGCCCGCTAATGTGCGAAAGGAGATTCTTCAGCGATTTGCGCGTTGCGAGAGGTTAGATCCGAAGGATGTTAAGCTTCCCGAGCAACCCGCTCAACCGATTAAAGAGCTAGGGACGCCGCTGGATAGGCTCTGTTGCAAGACATGCTCTTTTCTTACAGTAGACAAGAGCGTGTTGCGGAAACACTTGAAAAAAAATCACCAACAAGCATGGAAGGGAGAGAAGAGCGAGCTGTTCGATTCTGTCAAAGTTCAGACGTTTTTCCGTGGTGGGGGGTTGCAGAAATATTTTGTTGTCGATTTGGGCATTGGGGAAAATGGAGAAAAACTCGATCAAGATCAGGTCGTTCAGCAGCAACTCAGCGGATGGCAGACCGTGCGACAGCAGCTTGAAGAAGACATGCAAGTGATGGCCGAGGCTGCAAAGACGGACAAAACTGGCTGGTTTAAGAGAACCGGGTGGTTGTCGTTTCTGCAGGGCCGAAATCTGGCTCATCTAGGCTATCAAGCCCGCTTGCCCGACCGAAACGAAGCAAAGCTGCAGCTGGCTGCTAAGCTGACAGAAGAACTAATTGAAAAATCCGTTCGTGGCTTGGCAACGCTTCCACAGGAAACACGACGCTGGCTTCGTAGTGCGCAGCAGACGGAAATCGATCAACGGCCGCTAGCGCGACTGCAGAACCCCGAGAGTCAGGCAACGTACACTAGCTACATGGTCCGATTTGTCTGCTTCTATCTCCGCATCGTTGCAGACGAAGAGCGTCGAGTAGATGAATATGTAGCACAGCGGGATCAAGCTGTTGGCGTGGACAGTGCAAGCGACGAGGATGCTGGCACAGAGAGCGAGTACGACGACAGCGACATGGAAGGCACTGTCGACAGCAACGACAACGACGGTGTTGTGCTACTGCGGCAACCGCGTCGCGTTGTACAGGCTGACAAGATGAAGGATGCGCGCGAGCTGTTCACGTGGAAGGACAATCAGAAGGCGCTAGCAATCCAGCTATGGCTTACGCTGGGTAACCGCGACGCAGCTGCTCAGACAAACGCGCTGCTTGACTCGCTAGCTTCGTTTATTCTCACAGGCTATGGCAGCGATGAGTTTTCGAGTAGTCTGGTGCAGTATCTGGCTGTGCTGGGCATTGACACGCAGACAAACCGCTTGCGTACAGCAAAGAACTTCTCGTACATGCTTGCTAGCGTGGTCTACTGCGTTCGCGTACTAGCAGCGGAAAAGATTCTGCCCGCAGCCGAGCGCGACGATCAGACGGAAGAAGACCGCGAGCGATTCTTAGAGATGCGCAAGCAGTATCTAGCGGATGGCTCATATAGTCCGATGAGCATTATGCTTAGTCTTCTTGCGTATGGCAAGCACGCAGCGCTGAACGAGGGCAATGCTGGCAACGCATACTGGTCCCCCGACAAGAAGGTGTTTTATCTGAGTGGCCGGCCGATTGTGATAGAGCGTTTCCGCGCAATGGCGCAGAGCATGGAAGCGGAGGTAGAGGACACGTTTTGGCAGATGTGCTGGGTTGATCGTATAGCTGACCGCTTTACGGTGGATCTGGCGCAGATTCAAGACGACGTTACATTTACGACTCGGGGCAGGTCGTTTGTTACTACCCCGGGTAACCGTCTGTTGGATGGGCTGGCTTGGATGCTTAAAAGGGCGCGGAGCACAGAGAGCGGCATGCGGCTACAGACGTCTAACGGCCGGTGGAGAAGTAAAAAGGTGCGGGAGTATCTACGGGAGGTAGATCGCTTCTTAGCGCTACTGCTAGGCTGTGTGCACATGGAATCGGGACAGCCGGCTCGAGGCTCTGAGATTATCACGATGCGGCACCGCAATGGGCTGCTACAGGACCGCAATGTTTTTGTTGTAGACGGTGCTGTTATGACCGTCGTGCGGTATCACAAGTCACAGTCTCAGTGGGACAAGCCGAAGGTGGTTCCGCGCTTTCTGCCGCCGCGATTAGGGCAGGTGATGGTGTTGTACTTGAGCTACTTGCAGCCGTTTCGAGAGTATCTTGTAGCAACTGTGCTTGGGGGCGGGTTGGACGACTACATCTGGAGCAATGAGCAAGGCGCATGGGGTACAGATCGACTTACGAAGGTGCTGCGGCGTGAGACGGGTAAGCGACTTGGCGTCGAGCTGAGTACGCTAGGCTACCGTCACACGGCTGTCGGAATCGGGCGGGTGAAGGTGGGGGAGTCGTTTGGCAAGGGGTATCAAGACGAGGTTGGCGAGATGGATGAAGCAGAGGTAGACGAGGAGGAGGAGGACTTGATTGAGCTGCAGAACTCGCGAACGACGGTTATGGGAGTAGGCAACTACAGCGTGTCGATTGATATCGTTAAGCATCTAAGCACGCGGTCTATTGATGCGTTCCGGGCGCTTAGTACCGCTTGGCACCGCTTTTTAGGTGTAGACGGACAGGCTAAAGCGCCCGAGGAGCGCCGACTGCAGCGGAAAAGGCCGATGCGAGAGAGTATCTCAGGGCTTCCGATGCTCCCGAAAGCAAAGGCTGTTCATGTAGAAGATGCGCGAGCTGCGGCTGTGCGTCGGGCGCTGCAGCAGGTGCTAGGGAAGCAGGACGTCGGGTTTCGCTCAATAGAGCAGGAGCAGGCTCTGTACGCAGTGCTGGACAAGACAACACCGCTTGTTGTTGTGCTTCCGACAGGAGGAGGCAAGAGCTTGCTGTTTACGCTGCCGGCATGCATAGAGGAGAGCGGGGTGACGGTCGTCGTTGTGCCGTACCGAGCGTTGATCGAGGACTTGGTGAGCCGGATTCGCAACTGTGGTATAGACTGCATAGAGTGGAAGCACGGCGAGAGCAACCCGGCGTCTGTAGTGGTTGTTAGCGCAGACGTAGCAGGCGATATTACGAGCAACGGCAACTTTCTAGGGTATGCTCGACTGATGAAGGACAAGGGGCTGCTGCAACGAGTTGTGGTGGACGAGTGTCATCTGCTCTTTACAGCACGGCACTGGCGGGCAAATCTGCTTAAGGTGAAGAACTTGCGACTGCTTGGATGTCCGATTGTGTTGTTAACGGCAACGCTGCCGCCGGTGCAGGAAGGGGAGCTCGAGGCAAGCATGCTGGTGCGCAACGCAACGTATATCCGGGCAAGCACAGCACGACCGAACGCGCGCTACTTTGTGTCGTGGTGTCAACGCAAGGCATTGGAGGACACGGCGGTGGTGGTATGCAAGCGATGGGCCGAAAAGCTAGAGCGGACAGGGCAGAAGGGGGTAGTGTACTGTCTGAGCAAGGCGCAGTGTGAGTGGATAGCGGGGGAGGTTGGCTGTGCGCACTATCACGCCGACGTAGAGGAGCGAGGAGAGCGGCTGCAGGAGTGGGTAGAGCAGGGAGGGCTAATTGTGGCTACGTCCGCGCTTGGGACAGGAGTGGACTATGCGGGGATTGTGTACATCTTGCATGTAGGGATGCCGTGGAGCATGACGGATTTTGCTCAGGCAAGCGGGCGTGGAGGGCGAGGCGGAGAGACGTTTGACGTTGTGGTGATGATCGAACAGGGGGAGGTAGAGAAGAGAATCGAGCAG